TGGGCTTTTGACAAAGTGTTTCCCCAGCAGTGGGAACTACATACACAGTCCAAAGCAAACACTTGCAAGATAAACATCCTTCACATCCCAGGCTGGTCCTAATCCCTTGGAGCTTGCCATTACCTCCCTTGGAGCAATTCAGCACAACTTAATCAAAGTTAAAAATGATATTGTGTGATTTTATTTTTTGTACTTGCTCAGCAAGCTTTTATTGGCAGCTGCTGCCAGGATCTGGGACTCTGCCAAGTTCCCTGGTTATATTGCTCCAGTGTGGACAAACAAAGAAGGCCTATTTAAAAGTTTCTTGGACATAAATAAGGTAAAAACAACAAAATAAAAAACAATGTGTAATTATTTGTTTCCTTTATGAAGGGTCTCCTTCAGAGTCCTTTGAAATCGGTTCTGGTTTCCACCTACTAAAGTCACCCAAGGGAATAATTTAATATTAATAGGCATTCCTGAACCAGAATGCTACAACCAGAGGCACAAAATCCAGGGGGAAAAGGCCGTCTACCTTTCCCTTTCATATTACACTTCCTGAGCCAAACTACCAACTTAAGCTCCTTGCCTTTCCCAGTAACATTTGCCACTTCTAAACACAACCCAAAAAACTTCATAACTTTGTATTTAAATTATTTAAGCATAATTGCACTAATTCAGAATTCTATAGTAATTAAATATTAAGGCCCCTGTCAACAATGCATGCCTTTAGAAGCCTGGGTTGATGTCCGCACCTTTGGCATTTCTGCAGGAGTGCTGCCACATTCCCATGTCATTTTGCAGGTAACGATCACTCCTCTGTAAGCAACACTGTGCAAATGTCACCTTGCTAAGGTCACTGCCATGGCTCCTTCAGCAGCTAAAATGTCAGAAACACAAAGGCACTGCTGAATCCAAAGCCTGAAATTCATCCCTTTGCACAGCACAGCCCCTCACCCCATACCCTGTACAAGAGAAAGAGGTGCAGGGAGGACAGGAGAGAGGGAAAAGCAGGGAGAGGGGCAGAGAAGTAGAGGAGAGAAGGAGAAAAGAGAGAAAAAAATATCTCCATTTGACACGGCTATTTGTCAGTGTTTTGGAAGCCAAAGTGCGTCCTGTCAACAATACACACAATGTGCTTTTGAAAAACCAGAAATGTACATGCAGTTCCTTGGCAATTGGAAATAATAGTCAATATAGGAACAAACAGATTTTGGAGCATATGTTTTTGAACTCCCTAGAAACTGCAGCTTTTCTATTTTTTTTTTCCAGGTCACCAATTTATTATGCAGAGGCAGTTGCTTGCTAGTGTGCACAGTCCTGAGTCACAATAAAGAATAAGGAAAAAAACCACCCCTCTCTCTCAGCAGAAAAGTCTGACAGCAATAAAGGGCTTAAAAAACAAACTTCTTGTTTCCTCACCAGTGGCTTCAAAAAGGAGATTAGGGAGTACATAAAATCCCTGTTTTGCTTTTCCCTCTCACTCAGCAAGTTTGCATCTGAGAGAGCCTCTTAAAACCCATTTAAGAAGTTCCAAGTTTGAAATTCCAAGTCTAAGTAAAATTCAGGTCATTTGAAAGAATTTCTTGGTCTCTGGAAACCTCACCTGTAATAGAAAGAAGGAGCTGAGGTGTCTGCCTTCTGTGCTGGACCATCTTCCCCACCTTGACTGGGGAGGCCCTTGTGCTACCTGTGGACATCAGAAATGTCACCCTGCTCCCAGCTGGGAGCTGCCAGGAGCTGCCTCTGCCCGTGCACAAATTGCACCTTGGGCAGCCTCAGGGACATGGGCACAAGAGCTGGAAACCCTTCCTGCTGCACTTTGGCTTCCTCCACTCCTGGAGACAGAGACAGCCCAGCACCTGCAGTGTCTGTGCCAGGGACATGAGCCAGAGCACACAGGGGCTTGTTCTGTGCCTCATAAAGATGCTGCTGTCTTATTCCAGCAAGGTGGGTTTGCTTCCCCTTATTCCTGTGTAAGGAGATGTTGGCTCTTCCTTGCTTTTGTCAGGATGGATGTGACTTGGGCTAGGGTGAAGGGGAAGAATTGAGACTTTACCTCATGGAGCTCATTATTGCTGAGATGATGTTGGTTTCTGTTGGGGCCCCCAACAGTCCCCCAGGTTTTGCAGTGGGAATAAAGCAAGTTGACAGTGCACAGTTTGACAGTCAAGGCAAAACCCCTTGACTCCTTCACACAGCCAGCTGTAGATGGTATGGAAATGCTGCCTTGTAATATACTCTGCCTTGTCTTGATTGTCACAAATTCTCAGTTCAGATCCCTCTCAGCACTCCTGTGTGGACCTGGAGACACACTCACTGCTAATCCAGGGACCCACAGCCCTGCCTGGAACACACCAGAGGACCTGGAGCTCAAATTGGCAAATCCAGGTAATTTCCCCAGCTGTCTTCATAAAGATTGAAGCCCTTACCTTTATATTCTACTGATAATTAATCAAACCAAAACAGAAGCTGCAGTTGGTTTTGCGTGCAAGATTGCAGTTGTAAATATTTTCATCAAATACTTCAATATCTTCTAGATTTTACAGCCACAAATCAACACAAAATCCCAAAGTCAACGCCATGAAAATGCAGGCAGGCAATATGCCCATATTCCCTTGCGGAAAGGATGTTGCATTTTTGTCCTGCTTTTGCATAACCTCGGAGATTGGTTTTGGCATATTTTGGTCCTTTGCACTGCACCTGATATAATCCCGGGACATTTTTTTGGAGTCAGTATATTTCCCAAATTTTCTTTTTTTCTCCTCCAATTGCAATTCCTTTGATGGTATCTCCATTCCAGCATGTTTGTAAGTCCTTCTTTTCTGTTTTGGCCTTCAGTGGGGATCAATTTTGGCAAGCTTTGCTGCATGTGCCTGCACTTGATGGCGTATGGCCTGCCTGCATTTTGATGGCTTTGACTTTGGGAAAGATTGTTTTCCTTCTTTTTTGTTTTTTTATTAAGTATCCATGCCATGTCCCTCATATCTTGCCCGCTTAGTTGTGTCCTCATCCTTGACTTTTTCCACTGCTTCTGCAGCCTCTGTGAGCTTACTTTTGGCATGCTTTGGTCCTTTGTAATGCAGCTCATTTCCTTACAGCCTATTTTTTGAAGAGACTAAAACTCCCGATTTTGCTGGTGTTTGAGTTTTTATTCAATTGCATTTCATTTGATCCTATCTCCTTTCCAGAGTGTTTGTAAGCCTTTGTTTTCGGATTCGCAAGATTCCTTTTCCCTTCCCGAAAGGAAATTTCATTTCCTTTCAGGATGGGAAAAGGATTCTTGCGATTTCAATGGGAACCAATAGAGGAATCTTTGGTGCATGTCCCTGCCCTTGATGGCATGCCATGCCTTTTGATGGTGGAAAGTAAATGTATTTCTCCTAGGAAGGCTACACTCTCAAAGGAAAGGAATAAACATGTTGTACTGACAAAGACATACATCTTGAAAAGTCTCTGATCTCTCAATATTTTGTACCTTAGAAAAGGGTAATCAATTTTCCTTTCCTCTCCCAGCTCCTTTTTTTCACTGGATTAGAAACTTCTAACCCTAAACAAAAATCAAAGCAAAGCAAAAAGCTTTAATTTCACAACCGTTGTATCTGTTTGTAGATAATGTAAATTAACAGCAAGCCTACTTCCCTTTTTGCTTATTCATGGCAGGCTTTCCTGAAGGAGTATTTGGATTTTGGTGCAGTGTCTGGCTAGCTGTCAGACAAGGAGCCTGACTGGCAGCTTGAAGGAGGGTGTTTGCACAGCTTGACAGGTGAATCCAACTTCAGCAGCCAAGTGCTGCTCCCTTGGCATCCCCCCACAGCCCCCAACATCAGAGCAAGTCTGGCTGCACAGCTCTGAGCCAAGCACAGGAGGGCTCACAGAGAAACTAATGCAGGTGGATCCACTGATCTCCGAACAAAAATTTGCTGTGATGCCCCTGCCACAGAGGCAATCGAAGCTACACTCACCTACTTAGAGCTGCTAAAACCTGTTAAATTAAAATTGCAGAGGGAAGAGAGGAGCTGTGCTGCAATTGCTAAGCAGTTTTCATCTAGTAGTATTGTAAGAGCACCCAGTTAGAACAGGCCTAGAGCAGTGTTTCTGAGAAGGTAAATGAGCACTAACACACTGGAGTTGTGTGTTCACTGAAACCTGTGCCAGCACACAGAGCCCACCAGGAAACACTGCCATGGGAGCACAGAGCTGCTGCACCAGCTCCCACAAGAGAAGTGTGCCAATGCCTCAGAGAAAAACTGTAAGATGCTACTCACAGTTTCAGCACAATAGCAGAAAGTCTTGATCGTGGAAACTATTCCTTGTGCTAATGTGTCAGCATTACATTCCGTGTGAATTCCCAATTAGCCACAATTTTTGTATGAAAATACACTTTCAGTTTTATAAACCGAAGTAATGAGCAATAAGAAAACATATTGTCTAACATCAGTTGATGCCAAATATTTAGACATTTTAGTGGAAACCTGCCTCATTATTTGTTTTAGCTGTGACTTGCTAGGATTGTTACAGATTTTATATTTCTTCTCTGTTGATTCTCAAATTCTACCATTACTATGTCCGAAGCAAGGCTATTGATTGCTCAGTCTTGTCTATTTTATAAAAATAAAGCAAGATTCCTGTTCATAAAAATATGGTAAGATCTCCAAAGATAAAGACTTAAGGGAGATGTATCTTACTAGGCTTGAGCTGTGTGTGTGCAAACCTCATGAAGTTCAACAAGTACAGTCTATTCAAACTAGCATTTAAAACTTAAAATCTGAACAAAAAAGAAAGCCCCAAAACCCACAAGAAGCGGCCTAATTTTATTACAAAGCATAGCTAGAAACCTGTATTTACTGTCAGCAAGCTGTAAGACTTCCTCTAGAAATTGCTCTAAATCTGGGCTAATAATTGAAGTACTGACAGTAATATTGTAAACAGACAACCCAAATAATACACACAGAGAAAATTTTCTGGTTTGAGGTGTATTAAAAAATCAACTGTTCTACTATTTATGGGATATATATACATATATATCCCATAAATAGGAATATAGTCTTGGAATTTGCTGTCTATTGGAGATGAGCAAATAAATACAATCCTTTACTGATGTTTAAGGGCAAAGGCAAACACATATTTCTTTGTTATTGAATTTAGAATATTTCTTCAGCCTTAATGGGACTGCAGCTAATCTACAGATGGAAAGACAAAATCTCTAAATCCCAGAATTCTTAATTGCAATCTGACATCTAACTTCTCTTTATACTCTCACTCACATGAGATATCTACACAGCAAGTATTTAGCCTCTATAAAATAGGCTTCAAATAAAGCTGAATTAACTAATGGGTAGTGATGGTAAAAAACTAAAAAGTATAATGACAGCATCACATGAACAATTGAAACTTTATGCTTGAATTCCTTGTGGAGCAAGATTTTTTTTTTATAGAGTTGAGCTGATTCTTACTGTACATAGTATTTCATCCATTGCCAAAGCTGGATTAATGCCATTTTAAGGCTGTGGATTACATAGGAAGCAACAAGATAGAGAATTTACATAAAACAGAGCCACTTCATGCTTTCAGCAGTTACTTTCACATACAAATGTGGAATTATATACGGTTGGCATTTGGATGCAAAAAATGTTCTCTTCCCATTTCTGCAAATGACAGGGAAGTTTCTGTAATTCCAGGAGATTTGCTGGCTGGCTCTCCACCTGCAAGGATGCCACACATGGAGGGGAACAGCCCTCACACATCTGTGCCAGAGCTGAATGCTGGTGAGTTCAGAAACAAAGCCTATACAGAGGAGGCAGTGTGCAACAGCAGCTATTTTAGTTCTCATAGCATTGCACAAATAAAAATAGTAGTTTTAAAACTAATTCACTAGTCTTATTATGCATATATTTGCAACTTCAATGAGTCAAGCACATATTTCATTCCTCTTTTAGTGTAAAGAAGGAAAAAAAGCCTCAAAACCAACCTTTTTTCCAGCTTCTTAACCGTGACTTCCTCCAAGCCTACCTAAAAGGCCCCCCATGCAAGCTCAGGAAATCTCCCTTTTCAAGTAAACACATCCTACACCAAGGTGCATTATCAGGATAGACACCTATGACTGGAAAATAACTCAAAGTCTGTTTTTCCTTTTTGCACCATTTGGACACAATCTCCATCTGGAGACAGCATAAACTTAATTTTACAAGGGTCTCCTCCTCAACAAACACACCAGTATGTTTACCACAATAAATAAGCATCTTGAGATTCTTCTTACTCTGCACATAGCCAAACAAAGGCTAACTCAGGCAACCTCATCCTTTGATCACACTCAAGTTCACACAATTTCCTCTCTTTTCTCAACTCTTTCCCTCTCAATAGACAAAAACCTTTTCTGATTCTTACAACAGTAACTACTTTATCAGTTGTGTTCCCTTTCTGTGCTGCCCTGTTTCATGGCAGTTGCAGTTTCCCTGAGTTATTCTATTCTTTCCCTTAGTCCAATAATCTTCACTGAACAGCATTCAGTGTGCTCCTTTAGGTAATTCACCTCGGGGTACTTCTTTTTTCCTGAAAGGCACAAATTCCGTACTGTCTGTAACACAGCACTGATAAGAGCTGAACTGAGGATGTGATACCCAACACATCACTGCAAACCAGAGCTATGGGAAAGGCTCAGAGCCCACCACAGCTCCTGGCAGTGGTAGGACAGCTACCTGTAGTACTTAGCATATTGGATAACGTGGTACATGATCCATCAGCAAGATGCTGCTGCAGTTATCAGGGTCATTGTGATCTATCAAGTGCTGCTTCTTTCAAGATCAGAGGAAAAATGCAAAGGAAAAAAGGATAATATGCAGCACTTCAGTCAGTTCTTTGGTCCTATCCTGCCAAGAGATTTGGAGCCTGTTTCATCTTCATGCCATGGAGTGCACCCTGCTGCTTGAAGTTAGGGTCCATGGAACTGTTTTGAAAAGTGTTTATGGTGTAATTTTTCATTTTTCCTCTGCTTTGTATTCAGTTGTTTCCTTCCTTTCTTGTCCAGATTCCCTGAGCTCTTACAGAGTCCTCACATGGCTTATTCACTCTTACCCCTAGATCTCACTGCACTCACTTTCTGTGTCATTGCACCCACGTCCACATTTCTTCTTTAGCAACTTTCTTCTGTAACCTTCATCTTGCATTTCTTCAGTAGGTTTTTGCAATCAAAGTCGTCTCAGTAGATCAGATGAGTTTCCACACTATCACTGTACCAACTGGGCCAGAACACAAGTCCTTGTCACAACTTGTACAGCACATATTGAACTTTACAAGTACTTAACAGGTATGAGCTATGACACCAGTTCAATGACTGCCACTGAGTCGTAATTAGGTTCACTGGTAAATTGATAGAATCATAGAATTGGGAAAGATCTCTAAGGTAATTGACTCCAAGCATTTACCCAGCACTGTCAGTTCACCACCCTGTCCCTAAATGCCACACCTACATGTCTTTAAACACCTCCAGGTGTGGTAGAGTGATTCCACCCTTTCCCTGGGTAGCCTGTTGCAATGCTTGACAAGTTCTTTGGTTTTTCCTCATATCCAATCTAAACCTCCCCTGGCACAAATTGAAGTAATTTTCTTTCAAGCTGTCACTTGTTACTTGGGACTATGATCCCTACTTGGCTACAACCTCCTTTCAGGCTGTAGAGACTAATAAGAGCTCTCTGAGCTTCTTTTTCACCAGGCTAACAAGCCTCAGTTTCTGAGTTGCCCCTCACAGGACGTATTCTCTACACCCTTCATCAGCTTCAGTATTCTTCTTAGGATGTGCATTTAAAAGTTAAACCTTTTAAAGAACATATTCTACCAAAGCTGCTAAAAGTTGCTCAAGGTGCTAAGCATTCCTTTGATATCTGATACACAGAAACCTCATCATCCTAATATTATTAAACAGATTTTCTACTTTTACTCCTTACTTTGAAAATAAGTAAAGGCCAGGTTGGATGAGGCTTTGAGGAATCTGTGAAAGATATTCCTGCCCATGGCAGGGGAGTAGATGATCTTTAAGGTTGCTTACAACACAACTCTTTCTTTGCATCTATGACAGTGTGGCCTACAAAACCTTAATAACCTACACCTACATCTGAAGGCTTCCACAGTAATTTCCCAGAAAATTCTTCTTGCAAACCAATTACTTTGAATCAAAATAAAATGCAAGGAAAGGACTATGAAGGGTATTCTATATTATTACTGCATAGTAATTTGGAAAGGAAGCTATCAAGCCATGAAAGAGTGAAATCTCTCTCATTTCTGATTCCAAGGCTCCCAAGAGCCACTTTGAATTATAAGAAACCAGAAATCCTCCTGTTGAGGAACACATTCAGTGCAGGTAGCAAGGTGAGCAGCTGCAGTGTGAACTGCAGGCTGAGCTCTGAGTGGTGGGAGCCCCAGGCAAGAGGCTGAGAAATGCCACCCTTCACATAGGAAAGGGCCTGGGGAACTGTGGCAGCATTGGACACTCAGAGATGAGGCAGGAGCTGAGGATCCCCAGACTTTGTGTGCTGAGCCTGTGAGGGTATAAAAACCCAGGAGTTCCTTTGTATAAAGTCCCTCATCAGAGGCAGCAGCTTGAACCGTTTTGTTGTTGCACAAAGTTTAAATTACTTTAAGGATTGAGACCTGTGCCATGGGAATCCTGGGGCCAGGGAGTAAAGGAACCTTGTCTGACTGTGTGAGTGTGGGGGATGTAGGGAGACAAGCAGGACAACTCTGGGCTCACTGGAGCTGCCTGCTGTGAAGGGGCTTCAGCCCCAGCTCAGGTGCTGCAGGTGTGGCTGCCAGAGTGGCACCTGGATGGCACCTGGACAGAGAAGTTTCTCTAAGACTCTTTGAAAATGTGGAACAAAACAGGCTAATTTTCAGGGCTTGAAAATGCTGCATCATGTACTTTTGATCTGATTAAGGATCATGAGGAGTTTCCCAGGAAATTAAGTTTTTAAACTTTTCTACTTATATAAATGCAAGCTAGACAAGCTGTATATCCCAAAATATATATGTACTTTACTATACCTATTAGCTGTTAATAAAAAAATAAAGAATTAGAAATACAGGAGAACTTGTAAACCAACTGCAAAATAAGATGCACAGAAATGAGGAAAATCCCTCCATATTGTACAGATGTTTACACACTAGGCAGTCCCAAAGTCAATCATAGATTCTCTTATGTACATAAATCTAAACACAAGTTGCAACATTTTATTACTGTATATGTTTTTTCTTCTTAATCATCTGAGACTGCCTTAGCTCCTCAGTCCCATGGGCATATGGGCAAGCTTCAGAAGGTAAAGAACAACCATCAGGATGATGAATGAAAAACCAACAGAGGCGTGTTTTAAATGCTTCAGCTGAAAGGCGCCGCTTCACTTCAGGTTTAGTTTTACTTGGTGGTTTCTCTTTCCTCCAGTCACGAATATGAACTCTCCCATTCAGAACTAAGATTTAAAAACAAACAAAAATCCAGCTGTTAATAGACATCCATAGTAATTATACTGGAAAAAATTGTAGTGACATTCTGTGAATAAAAAACATTCTACAAATGGATCACTCAGGCAAAACCAGATGAGCCATTTGCACAGAAACAGAAGGAAGTAAAAACAAATCACTACAAAGACAATGCAGACACAATAAAAAGAAGACTTGATTGATTTCCCTGAGAGATGTTTCACTGCGATGCTGAATAGTTTGAGGCACCTTTGCATCATCTTTGTAGACATTTCTTAGCTCATTTTAAATACAGCAGTTGGGATCATTGAGAGTAAAATCATCTGAACTTAGATTGCAAGTTCTAACAAAAGAAGTTTTAACTTCAGGAACTGTAATTCTTCCCATGTTTTTAACTTCATGATTCCACATCTAAAATGTGATTACCAGCAAGTGTCTTCTGCTACTTTCACAGTTCACTGACCCAAAAACACACTGCACCAAGGAGATGACAAGTCTAATCCTTCATGTGAACCAGCACTCAGTTATCATTGGTTAATAAGGATTCAGCACTTCGGGTTTTTTAAATTCATTTGCTGTGTTAGGACCATGAACTGCACACATACACACTTGTGAATCTCTGTCAACTCCTTAAATGAGTAAACAAAACAGATGAAAGGAAGTTAGCCAGAGAGGAAGAAAAAAACATGACAAACAACAGTAAAAATGAAGAGGGAAGAATCTGCCACTTTTAAGTTGCCATGTTCTACTTTCATATACTGCTTCAATCACACCTTCTCTCTCAGACACTTGTAGCTTGGGATAGTTAACCAATACCATTCTGCATTCTGATCATTGCTATTCAAAAAGTAACAAGTCCAGTGGAAGCTGAATATCACACAGTCTGCCCTGGATGAATTAATGTCTCCAGGTTTTCTTGTAATACACAGACAGACCTGAACTCATACTAAGCCAATCAAGAAGCAATTTCAGCTGAGCTTCCTCACAAAAGAGGAAGAAAAATTAACAGGTATTTATTATCAAACATAATTTTTCCCTAGAAAATTAGTCTTGTATTGGACAAGATACCTGATCTAAAGAAACTGCCACTGATCATTCTAAGACCCACTTTCTGTCTGGTGTGTGTGTACATCCATCCACTTTCATATTTTAAAAGAAAAAATTATATAAATTACTGAGATGGTCTGACTTAATCCCAGTCTTTTCTTCATATGTAATGTGCACACAGCCTCCAAGCCAATTTAAGATGCTCATTCCATTTACAATGTAACACATTGCAAAACCTATTTCAGCTATTCCTAATGACAGGAAACCAAATTCAGACACATAAACTCCATGTGACCAACTCTTTTTAATGGATGGTAACTCAGGAGGATTCTATCAGCCAAGTGTACACAAATATTTAGTGGATGCTAAACTTGCTTAAGTTGACCACTGGCAACAAACAGGTTGCATACTCAGGATTACTTTTCATGGATTAGTTCATCAGTATTTTACAGCAGACACAGAACTGTTAGGACATAACACATTTTGAAATTTGAAGCAGCCTTAATACTGATAAAACCTTGAACATCTCGTATTACTGCAAAGCTACAATTTAGTTTTGCAAAACTTCACACTCACAAAAAAGCCCCAAAGCACAAATGACACAAAGCACACTGTCACCACACATTACAACAGGGAAAAAAAAAGCCAAACCCAAAAAACTGCTATAAACAAACTCAGCCAGCCATGGAGACTTGCTACTGAGTTCTTTCTGCCATGCTACCACAAACTACACAAACACAAGCTTTATAAACACATCAAGCCTCACAATTACAGGTTCTTAGGGAGGCTAATTTTGCTTCATGTCAGCATTTACACTTTGGAGCTTGGTGTGATCAGACTAAGCCTCAGCTAAATGCTTTAGTAATATTGCTCTGTATTTGACAGCCTCAAAACCATCAATATTTCACAGGAAGAAACAAGAATAAAAGGTCAAAGAATAGCATCAAATCAGCCACCTAAACTAAAGGCTTGTCTTTTCAGATACAGTCAGTGCAGAACTTTTTGCTGATAGATGCCTTACCAATCTCAATTCGTAAGAGCTTTACTAACAATATCTTGGAGCAATGGGCACATAAAGAATATGCAGTTTTCTGCAAAGATACAAAAAGCAGTTAAAAAAACCACCACCATAGTAATTTTTCAGTTAAGTTTAACTGCATATAGAGGAGATAAAATAAATAATTAAGGAGAAAAAACCCAAAACTCAAAACTCCTTTACCTTCAAATACTTGATGATTGTTCTTGAGTAGCGTCTGCAGGCCTCCATATTCACTTTTCAGCTTTTTTAAAATCTTTTTATCCAAGTGTTCTGCCACTTCTCTCAAGGAAAGGCTTTCTGCAATAAAAAAACTGGTAGAATTATTAAAAACTTTTCTCTATAAAACTTTAATACAATTCAACTTCTATATAAGGTAATGATTATGAGCAGAGTGTCAGAATTATCTACCAGGATTGCAGCAACTTTTTTCTCACAATATGATGTATAGAACATATTTTACATGCATATTGTAAAACAGCAGCTTTCATTTTACAGGACTCAGGTCAGAATTTCCACAGTAAGACACACTTTTTATTTGCTCTGCTTTTTTTACAATAGCATGTAACCCTCATTGCAATAAGAAGTGTTTATAAGCATGTAGTTAGAAGACCCAGTCAGTAACATATGACATACTACAGTGAGTAAATTATAAAAACAGATGGAAGAAAATGGAAAGATGGTAGTAGTCAGATAACTGACTGCTTATACAATTAACAGCAGCTTAACATTCTTTTTGTTCCTAAAACTAAACTAAAAATTCCTAATCATGTTGTAACCTAATGACACTTTGAAGGACTTCTTACAAACTCTTACAGAAGTATAGCGAATTATTATGTTAATATTCTAAACCATAATATTCTCCCTAAATAGGGTAGAGTTGTGGATTTAGTTGGGTTTGGTTTAATAAAATCGATTCTATAATAGTATTTAGTGTAAACCAGGAAAAAAACTCGAACCAATCTCAAAATATTCTTCAACATGCAATAAAACATAGTGGAAAAAAAGCACCTTTGATTGCTACTGTATTGTTCCCAGTGTTTCCTAAAAATCTAATCAAAAACTTGTAAACTTGCTGGAAAAGACATGTTCTGCCAGCTAAAGATAGTGTAAAGGAAAGATAACCTCACCTCCTTGATTCCAGGCATTCATATTTCCACCCTGCTTATCAGAACATGATTTCTGGGGGGCTGCATTTAACAGCAAGTTTGCCACATTGAGAACCACTTCATCTACAAAGTCCCGAGGGAGGGAAGCACAATTTCTGACTTGTTCCACTTTTTCTCTGGGTTGAAATCCAGGCATCCAAATTGTACCAGCTGTCTCAGTCTCATCTTCAGGAGGTTCTGAGCCTGCTTCTTTGCACAGACCACCAGAATGATGCTCATGGTTAAATCCAAGCCTTCTGTCACACGTGGCCACAGCACAGGTCCGACGACTGTTAATAAACTGTGTTATCTGCTCGTCAATCAGAGCACGTTCTGCAGCTGGATAGGTCCTGCTTTTCCCTACAAAACTGACCTATTTTGGCAGAAACAAGTAAATCACTATCAGAGTCCTGTACTTACACCCAGCCCCACAAACTCCACATGTTTATGCAAGTTTCTCACTACTAAAATAAAATCCAATACCAACTCAATGCTCAGTAACACCTGAGGGGTTTTTAATTCCAGTCTTTGAATATTGGTGTCCCAGAAGAAATCCAGTAAACAAATCATAATCCATCATGCTATAAAATCACACAGCAAAAATATTGTTCCTGACCCTCAGATTATTTAAAGCTGGACACCTCTTCCCACTCAGAACATTTCACTTTAAATTTCACTGGACAAGAAAAACAGCAAGAAGTACAAAAAAGTAGGACAGGCAGCTAGAAAAATTAAGGCAAAAAATCAGGTTTTAAGTTTTCCATCATATAGAGTGGCATAAGAGAAAATCATGAAACATTTCATTTTTTCCTGTTGTTTTTTTCTTTTTTATAGAGACTGTACCTATAACATTAAGAGTGTAATTCCCAAGAAAACAATGAGTATTTTTAATCTCTTTTCAGAGCATATTGTATCAAGTAATGAAGCTGACTATAGTCTTATCTTACAACAATAACAATGAACAAACATCCATATGCTTCAAACAGAGCAGATTTAAGAAAAAAGACAGAGGCCAAAATTACCCTTTTTGTTGATGGAATTCTAAGGCAATCTTCTTCCACATGAAAGCCACATACAAATCCCACTTGGGCAACAAAATCAAGATATTCTCTGTACTGAGTTTTCTTGCATTGTCTTCGGCTGTATTTTCCATGGAAATCAAAGAAGCAGCATGGCAGCACAAAGTAACAACATGAATAGGAAGACCTACAAGAAGGATAACAAACTGCTGAACAGTAAGTTACTTCAGAAAACACAAAAATTTAACAAACAACCTATTAGGTGAAAACAACAATGGAATTTTTATTAAATACAGAGCTTCATGCAGTAATATTTATAACTTCCTTTATCAATCAAAAGATTAATTTAGTCACAAATACCATTTCACAAAGTATTTGATGCAGCAACCTACTTTGCCAACTTAGTTTGCAGAAGTAAAACCAAATTAATTTTGCTGTTCGTAAAGAGCACAACGGCACGAGGGAAGGCAGAACCATTAGCTTGTATTTACAAGAAAAAAAAAAACACAACAAAAAACAATCAACAGCTTCACATAGGAGGAATAAAAAACAGTTTTGGTTTTTGAATTTCAAAAGCAAAATACTGCACTGAATTCTATGAGAAAGTAAATACTGCATCTGCACTTCTCCACAGAAACGCTTTGTAAAAATAATCAACTTGCATCAAAAGCAGCCAGTCTTAAAAGAACAACTGGTGTGGAACCAAAGCTGACAGTTTTTAGCAAGCCTACATATGTAATTATGGGTGGGGAATGTTTGGGTTTTTTCTGCCTGTTTGTTTTTTTAATTCCTTCCATCCCACTGCCCTCCCTCTGCAAAAATACCTAGCTGCAATTACAGGTATCCACGGTGTTAATTCATCTGAATGGTTTCCTATGAGCCAGTCAGTGTCTGGAAAGAGATGACTGTCACCTGGAATGATTGTAGCTTCCTAAAAAACAGAACAACACAGCAAGTGAATCCTCTTACAGGTTTCTTTAAAGCATTTTATTTAAAGCACTAAGCAATAATATCAAGTAATACCAGCTGACAAATACAAGGTAAGTGAGCACCACAGACACCAACAATGTTTTCTTCGGGTAGCAATTTTTTGTAGCTACAGAGAAGCAATTAAGCAAAAAACACCCACAAAAATGGGTCAGCAAAACAGTAGAATAGCAACTCTGATTAAGATATCTGGCATTTAAATATGTATAAACAAATATCATACACTAAATTATGATTGCTTGCCAATCTCTTTCTATCACTTGTATGCCTGAACTCAGTTTTTCAGAGAGACACTTAATTTGCTGTCTTGCAGCCTGTAGGACTCACACAGCAATTAATCAGAACACAGCTTCATTGTTATTTTCTCCTCCTTCACAGATGCTGCCCAAATCAAATCCTAGTATACAGAACACCACTCTTCACATGCTATCATTCACATACAATAAAACAATAACAAACAAAAGAAACCAAGAGGATGAATTCTTCATACAGGCTAAATTCAAATGCTCTACACTGGCTATAATGTTTATGCCTCACAAATACATTTTCTCACTCTGAACTAAGTTCAGAAGAGAAAGTACTGAAAGATGTTGACACCATGAAAGTAGCCACTCTTTCCTAAAAATATGCATGAACATTAAAATAATTATTGGGCAAATTTGAAAAAAGTTTTAGATTTGAATTTCCACAGTCCTTTAGGCAAAGTTCTGGAATATAGAAAAGATATGTTCTCTTTAAGTTCTCTTTATAAAGTTCTCTCTAAAAGTTCTCTTTATATAGAAAAGATATGTTTTGAGAGCTTAAAATTCACATGTACATGCATCACATGTATCTGTATAGGAATTAAAGAATAAAATAAAACATGACCACTAATTAGGGAATTTCAGACTATCTTGGTTACTTTCTAAATCCCTCTTAAGGATCAATATGGTGATTGTTCACTTAAAATTGTTCCCTTTAAATACTACAGCTCATTTTTAGATATGTATAAACATTTCTAGATAATGAATGTAACAAGTTTTTTTGGCAGATTACTGGATGTTAAATTAGCAAGGCTTTTGTAAGTGTTTTCTTAAGGTTGATTAAACACATTGCTCATACTTTACATTTTAGTTTTGATCATTCAATTTAGGCATAGTATGGATTATCAGTGCCCCACTGCCCATTCTGACAGCCACTCCTAATCACATTTGTATTCACTGTGTCTGACAGCAGTTTGGAAGCACAGAGTGCCACCTGTTACATCCATTTAGGTTGTTAGAACTGTACTGAACCACACAGGTGGCAACATCTACCCTGCAACTCTGCTGTAAGTAAAGATCAAAACAAAATTAGCTTCAGGGGTAACAACAGGCCCTGGGCAGGTGCTTTTTCGTTCTGTGGCTCCTGTGGCTACATGAGCCTTGCAAACTCCTTTCACCCTTCCTGTTCCTGGTTTAACTCCTTCCAGCATCAATCATCACTTTCTTCAGCATATATTTTATAGTTTCTTTCTTTCTAGGCAGAAATAGGAACATGTAACACAAAGAGACAATGCTGTTCATCATGATCAGATGTTACTTAGTAGAGTACAACAGGAATGATGGAGCACCACAGATTGATGGTTTGGGTTGTCTGTTGAAGCTTTTCAGGGAGATCTGCTTGCAGACTGCAGTACAGGAACATGGCAGTTTTGGCAACTTGTACCCAAAATAGCGAGGTGGCAAAGAGAAGGCTACACAACACTGAAATCTGTGACCTCCCACCTGTGAAAACTGAGGTTCTTTCCTAATTTAATGAGCTAGCATCCTCATTGTTGAATGAAAAATTCATAATATATTGAATGAACTTTAAACAACACTACTAGAGAATAACTACAGATGGAAAATTATTTTACTATATTGGGAGATGACAATTTTGACAGAACAGAGCAAGAAATTTTAGACCTGCAGAACAAAAACCAGGAACACCTCACCTCTCAAGGGCAACCGCTCATTGGCACCACACTTTAATGAGTATCATATTAATAATGCTTGGAATCAAAGTGAATGTTCCCACGCTCAAATTGTTCATAAAAATGATAACGTGAAACTTGAAATATAATCCCCTTTGCAGACACATTTTGTTCATTTTTGAAGACTTTTATTGCAATTATTTATGTTGCCTCCTTTGAGGTTCAACAACAATTTTTCCCCCAAAACAGAACATAGTACTAGAAGGTGAGAATCACTTTCAAGCAATTATCCCAAATTTTGAGTGGCTTTATTATCTTTTATGAACTAGTGGTGCAAACAAAGCTGCTTAATACTGATCATCTGTTAAAAAGAAAGCTTGTTTCATGGTGTGCATGTCTGTAAATGCAGTAAGAAATCATGCCAGTGGTTCTTGGCTGAGAAACAAGCAAGTTGCAAAGATGCAAGGGTACAATACAATATTCTTCTCATACTTTTCTCCCTTTACAACTTACTCCACCTCCAAGGGATATGGGTAGGAGCATAACAAACCCATGGGTCCCTTTAGACAACTGTGTGTAACCAGTATGCTTCCTTACACTTGCATCAATACATCCTGAAACAATGAACAAATGAATAAATGTACAGATCAGTAAGACTGACATACATTTGCATAATACCTCTAAATGCGTCCCTTGTCCATACATGTCCCATATTTTTCTTCTCCTCACATCAATTCCTCTTCCTGGATGCTGAAATATTTGAACAAAAATACTCAATTTAAGTACTACTTTTTTTCAGAAATTTCAAATAGGTTCAGTAAATGTACATAGCAACTTCAAATATTTCATTCATGTCAAAATTTAGACACATAACAAAAACCAGCTTTGCCATTTCATCTGAATACTTTTATTCCCTTTCTTCCCTTTGAAATATGAAGGGAATAACCAGGAAACCTTAAGAACATATCTGGTTCAAAATTTTACCTGGCACACCTACTGAGACTGTTCTTGAAAATCTCTATCTCTACAAATGTAAAAACAGAGGTGTTGATTTTTGGTTTGTTTGTTTGTAAAATATCAAAGCCTTTCACAAGTTGAGTACTGCAGCATCCACAGAGCTCAAAGAAAAATGCTACTCTAAGCAGTCCCTAGTGGAGAACCACCTTTCAGCTACTGAAACCCAAACAGTTTTTTCCCCTGTCTGATTTAAAGGGAAGAGGAAATAGACTGGAAACTAAAACAAGAAATGAAGAATGTGTAGTATTTGAAATCCAAGAATCTCGTGCAGGACTAAGAAAAATCAATTACTAAAAAAAGTCTCATAAAACTCTCATACATGATTTTTTGGACAGTCAATGTTTGTCAGCACTGAAGGAATGACTGACTGATTGAAAAATCCACATGGAAAACAGCAGCTTATGTTACACAAAAGTTTTCTGGCCACACAAGAATAGAAACTTTGTGCTAGGAGAACTTGGAACATTTCCCTACTCTCCCACTGATGTCTCTTTATCTAATAAGATATATTCATTTCCTCTATAAATTTCCCCATGTTGCCCAAAAGTGGAAAATGTAATTTTCTGAAACAGACAGACCCACCTTCAATGGGTTTTGTTTAGTTTCACTGTTCTGTCATTGCTATTTCAGAAACCGTGCCTCAACAAACTGAATTATGCTGTTGCTACATTTTTACTCCAAAAAGTACAGTATGCTGTTAGGCATTTTTAATTAAGAAATCTCAGGACTGCTTTCAAAGATATAGAAAAACATTTTGTGACATCACAAGTAGAATTCGGTTTGGATAAAAATAAGTTCATGAACACATCTTGTGAGAGCTAGAACCTATATCGAAAATTCACATTCCTTTTTGCATAACTAAAGTACTCCATTACCTTTTCTTTTTCCTCTTACTTTCTCACCTGAGAAAAAATAGCCCTCAATTTAAATTAAATACACTAACTAAGATAAATAAATGAATGGTCTAATCCACTGGTAGGATTTTCAGTTAGTAACTAGAGTGACAAAATCCTGTTTTAGCAACATGAATTAATTTATTTTGGCTATCTGCATGCCAAAAAAAAAGAGGAAAGCATAACAAGAATACTGACACTAGCTTTTAATAATTATTTTTAAAATCATTCTATTTACCCCTTCATTGTTTAAAATATGAACCAGCAAACCATTTCCACATCCAAGATCTACAAATGACTGCTTCTTGGTCAACCCTTTTTCTTTTCTCTCTTCTTCCCAAAGAATCTAAGAAAAGAAAACAAAACATATTAGGCTTCTGCTCTCAAGTTTCCCTATAAGAAACCTTATCAAATGTTATTTGAGATGAAAAAGGAAACCTGGAAATGCAGATTTGACAGAAAACGTTCACTGCATTCACAGGTAAAATAAATTTAGAGAAAAAAAAGGAAAACCTAAAAAAAACCCAAAACAAAACAAAAAAAAACCCCACCAAAACAGAAACCCACTGTTTATAGAGTGAAACAAGAATTATTTTGCAAAATATCAATAATTTTCTAAATGCTAAGCACATCCTCCACTCTGTTTTGAGTAATCAGGAGTTGAAATTAATCAGGGCTTTACAACTCTGGGCTAGAATGAACATAAATGTAAAATAAATTGCTGAAACAATAGATGCAAGAGCAGAACAGTGGAAAGCAAGGGAAGTATCAAGTCAACTTCATCAGTGTCTCTGCAAGAACACCACAGATGCATTTATATCCACTGTATTAAAGAAAGTATTGATGGCAGAGCTGAAAATAAACCCCAAAATATTCTTGGTAATCACTTAGTGATATACTGGTACATGTAACATCCCTTTTACTGAACAAAGCAACAGTGTTACCTAGCAAGGTAACTGCCCCAAATTCTACACCAGCTAAGGGACCCCAAAGCATTTAAGAAATTCTAGTCCCTGATCTGTACATAAGTAGGTACTTTTACACAGATATATAATCCATAATTAATAAGTGGCTGTTTCTCTGCTGAGTATGCATTAACCTTCACCATTTTCCAACTCTTTTTCCTTCAATGAGAAGTTAGAGATCACACATTTGTAACTCTGCACTCTGATTTTCATTATGACTACCAAAAATCTTGAAGAGTACTTAACTATGAAAATAAGTATTTGTAACATTGTCAGTTTTGCTAGAAGGAAAAAAGCTCAAGATAAACACAGTCTGCTAAACTCATGGATTATGGTTTTAGATTTACCAATCATTGCACTCTGGCACTCTAGGCAGTATGCAGAAATCCCTAATTACCTCCTTCACAGATCCTACCTATGCCCCAATTCCTGCAGAGGTTTTCACAACACAACAGCCATGCCCTTGGCCAGGCTCCTGCATAGTGAGTGATTTATTTTCCAATATGATTGGAAAATAAAATGAGGTCACATGCAGATGCCATTAACCCATAAAAACTTTACACTGGACCTACTTTTCCTTAGAAAATCACCTGTGTAATGTACTTCTTAACAATGACTTTCATAGACCATCAAATAATACCTGAACGTTTGCAGCAGGTTAGGTAATTAATACCATACTTTAAGTTTTCATTTACATAAGCTGCATATTGAATGACTTTAATAACTCTCTGAAAACTACTGCTATATTAGCCAAAACACAACCACTGTAAACCAACAATTACATGTATAAAAATGCTATCACTCTAGAATTTTCTTGTGGCTACAACTAAACTCCTAATTTTCAACACTGAATATTAAAATGGTGGTAAAAATGGTACAGATGAGTCTTTTATATAGCTCCTTCCACAAGCCAGTATCTAAGGTTGAAGGTTAAAGACCTAATTAACAAAATTAAATAGTCCTCAATGAGTACTATAAATGAGCTAACTTACACAGAAATACTGATTTAGGTAAGATGCTACAAGTATAGCTCAAATATAGACATGCTCTTACTCTGGATGGAAAACAAAAATATGTGCCTGCCTTTTAAAAACCTGATGTTTCTTAGAATTGCAGGTGGCAGAATTTTCATAGAATCTCAAGCAGATAGATGCTTGAGAAAATTGCACCAAGCATTTATCTGCACTTCTAGCATCTGCAGTTGACCTTATTACACTTGAAGATGGGATTTGAGCTGAAATTTTATAGAGAAAAGGCATAGCAGTAAAAAACACTACGTATTTATTTGTTCATAATATAAAATGAACAAGTAATAGAAAAATTTATAAAACAATCAATCCTAATCTCCAATTGATTAAATTTATCACTTCTACAATAGTGCTTTTGACTTTTTCACTTAGAAAGAAATAAATCTTGTGTATGTAGATGACAAATTTCCTGTGAGAGAAGACTGCAAATCTTCATCATATTTACAAAGAAGTTTTTGTTTACCTCTAAAATGATCTTCTTTAGAGAGGTTCTATTATCATGAAATATAACCTTACAGCATATTATTAGGTAAAGCAGTTCCCTACCAGCAAGTAAGTGGCAATGGCAACATCTTCATAGACAAATTTCTCAGGATCTGTCACTTCAGGCCACACCTTCAGGAAAAAAAAAAATAGAATGAAAAAATAGATAAAAATTTATTTTCGCCATCATCTGAAATAACCTTAAAAATGTTGAGACACAGCAATTTACATATTTATTCACTTCAGTAGGTTTCTGGACTTCTGGACAGAACTTCAGGACCTTCTGAACAGATTTTGCATTTTAACCTCATTCAAATATATCCAGGAATATAAAGACTGTTTGATTCAACCAAACAATAAAGTTTCTAAGAACATTTTGGCTCCACATGTGCAGGTCACAAGTAAACAGCTGCATGTGTTCTGTAACAGACCATGTATCTTTTGATTAACTTTCTCATGAGAAAAATCTGTTCTATACCTCTGCAGCATTGAGAACATGAACATTTGTAGATTTCTTTTCACAAGGAAAAGACCTGGAATTATCCTGGCACAAAAGAACATGAAGAATCAAAATCTGAAGCAGGAAGACAGAAAGTTAAGTATTATTCCTAAGTGTTACTTTGTAAACAAAGAATTGAAACAATAACTAAAATGCTCAATAGCAGCAATTCTACTACAGAACTCAAGACTGAATTGTTGCCTTACCCAACAATTTGCTTTGTTTCTTCCTGTTAGTACAGAAATATTAACAGTAAAACATTTCAGCATTTTCACTGTATGTTTTACAAAAGCATTGACCAATTTTTTTGTTTGCAGCTAGAGCCAAGTTTGCAAGAATACAGACATTACTTCATACAGCACTCTGTTGCTCTTCAGGATAAGAAAAAAAAATTACAACACTGCTCCTCTAATTCAAGCACATATTAAGATAGTATCCAAAGGTTTTGGGGAAGGAGGTGTTTTATTTATGCCTTCTAAAATGTGGATTTCTATTTATTCCACTGACCTACTTCTTCCTTTTTATCACAAGCGATACATCCAAAATATCCAAATATTTATTTATTGTGAATTTGGCTCTAAATCCTGCTTTTCCAATTAAGTTTGTGCAAGTACTGACCTGCTGTATTCTCTATATATGCCAAAAAAACCCCCAAAACACAAAACCGAAAAACATACATTATAATTCAATTGCTTCTTTAATTAAAAAAAAAAAATTGAAATAAGCAGCTTCATTACACAAAGAAAAAAAAAATAAGGACAACATTACTGCATTTACTGCTTAAACTTACCTTTACCATCTCTTTGTACTTTTCTTTGAGGTCCTGATAAACCTTGCTGTATTTTGCTACTGAAATGAGGGAGAGTGTACTTTTAAACTCACTAGGTTTTTGCTCCACAGACCATTTAGCCAGTTTGGACAAAAGTTCATTTCCAAGCCATGCTAGTTTGGGGTACACAATTCCATCTGAAAACCAATCTTCTGGAAATGGAGCTACAACAGATACAGACCTTAAAAACAAACAAACAAGCAACTTAGTATAAATACAGCATTTCATTATTTCAGCTATCTCAAGGACAGAGAAAACAAGGATGAAGTTGAGAAAATAAGCAGATCAGGGATATAAAATGAGACTGGAGAATAAGTAAATATGTAGAGAAATAATAAACCAATGAAATTACTGAATAATGGAACAGTTTCCTCTGAGTTTTGTTAGCTCCCAATTCAATCACAGTACATAAGAGTCCAGCCTGCATTTAACACAATAAATGAGGACTCACAGATGATGAGCAACCTGACCTCACAAGACAGCCAAACACTAAACAATGAAAGTCAACTTCTCAAATTCCTGAAAATAACAGGCAAAATTAAGAGAAAAATATACCCATTGTCACAACTCATTATTTCATCATCTCTAACATTATTCAGATTTTATTAGAGCATCCCTGGATGCTCAGGACCAAAGTGACTGGTCTACATTTCAATGACTAAAGCTCAGGCATTTACAGCAACTGTGGTTTGACCCTCCCCTTACTGACACCCACAGACACTGCTACAAGCACTCTTACATCCTCGTGATCACAAGAGGCATATTTTTTCTAGACCACACAAAGGTAGAGTCAATCTTTACATTCAAAGGTGAAAAAAGTTTGTTTTACATTATTCTGGGTATTGTAGATGTTTCTTTTTAGAGAACACTGTGCACTCACATCACACCACTACTGTAATTTACTAATCAAGCAGAAAATTATAAAATCTAAATTGCCTACACAGCAATACCAACCCATTGTGTGACTCTTGCAATAACTTACTGTTTGCTTCCTCTCCTCAATCCACACTTACCATTCCTCATCTTTTATGTGTTTAAGTTGAATTTGATAAATATTGCACTTTTTAACGAGGTATTTTCCTTCACTGTTTTCCTCCAAAGGCAGAAAGGTCACAGTTCCATTGTAAACATCTGAAAAGATATGCAAATAAGGGTTTATTATTCCATGGTGCAGCCCACCCTGGTTAGCACCAAAATGAACTTCTGCCTGCAAACCACTGAGGCAAGATCTAAAACAACAGAGAAAGGAGCACAATGCCAGGAATAGATCTGTTTCTTGGTGTTCCTGACTTCTGAAACTACTGGATGATTTGAATTCTCCAAATTTAGCATTCTATGGCATGATGCTCCCAAAATATCAAGGGCTTACCAGGAGTATTCATTTTCATCACACCTATTTTAATAAAGTAAAAACTAAACAATAAGATTTTTCTAGTATATTAACATCCCACAGCAAGTCCAGAGTCCTGGGAAGCAGGTGTATATGCAGTATTACTTCCTCTAAAAATTAAAAAAAAATCTTTTTAGCTATTATTTACCCAGGGTGACTTTTTCAGACTAACTTCCTAAGTTCTCAGTTTTGAAAATGTCTTTTTAATTACATCAAAACAAATCTTCTTGCAAGTAAAAATGCTACACTGGCTACATAATCAATTTTCAATAGACTCCAAAATTTTCTGAGTTAGACAAGAAAGAATTAATTAGCAATAGAGTAAATGTTAAGTCTTGCTATCTCATCTCATCCTCAGCAATACCACTTCTAAAATATTTTAATTAAAAATAATTTTAAAACATTAAAAATATAAAAAAAAAAATTTAAAAATCTCCTAGGCCTTCTCTATGCTCTATAGGTGCAGCTCAGGAGCATCTTCCCTTAGGATCAAAAGAAAAAATAAATCAAAACTGCAACATATAATATTTTTTTTAAAGGCACCTATTTTTTGAAGGCATCAGATAAGAATCAAAGGCCTCAAGAACATCCCAAGTGTGCCCCATAAATGACTATCAGTCTTTTTGACTTGTAAGTTGAGCTGGACTTCTTTTTCTTTCTGGACTTCTGATTCTTTCCAAAACACTACTACTAGAATTTAATCCATACAACAGCTTTCCAAAATTTATCTAAAAACGGTGTCAAGTTCTACCCTATGCAAGTTTATTTATATTAGCAGGATTTATTGGAGAATTTTACCATCATACAGAGAAAAATCACCACAAGGCAAAACAAAAACAAACAAAAAAAACTTCACACATAAAAAAACATTTAAAAAAAAACCCAACAAAAACCAACAAATTGAGATTCTTTCTTAATGTGAAAAACACTAATGACTTGTTTTTAAATTTTTAAAAGTTTAATAGTAATAAAATGGTTATAAAAATAGCCATAATAGTATAATTAGAGTAATAATAATTAGGATAATCTGGATTAGGACAATATGAGACAACAGAAACGAACGGTTACGGACATCTGGGTACCTTTTTCTGGGCAACCTAAGCCCGAAAAAGGACACCCGTTAACAGAGGATTAACCCTTAAAAACAATAATTTGTTACATATTTATACACATCATACATGATGCATAAATTCTATTCAAACAAAGGATTTTGTCTGGTCAGCATCAACTTTTTCCTCTTAATCTTAACGGCATATTCATGCTTGAGAAAAGCAGGAAGAAGTTAATTTCTTCTGATAAAAGAGCAATAAATTCTCTTTTTCTGAAAGATTCAGGTGTCTTGTGGCTGCTATTTCACTGTGAGTCCTTTCTTCAAAGAAAAGTATCATCTTACATAATATAATTTCTATTTTAACATTATGTTATAACTCTAACACATTACTAAAAAATTAATACAGCATAATTTTCTAACATAACACATATAACATTCATTTTAATATTTGTGAAAAGCCAATCATAAAGTATGCATCCTTCACATTAAGCAATACTAAACATGAAGAAAGTCGATACAGACACTTCTACTTGTCCAGGCAGGTGCCACAGCAGCCTGCTCTGTTCAGAAATTCCGCATTTCCCAACACTGCAGTCACTCCTGGCCAAGCTGTCATTAGGCCTGCACTATGAGCGTGGGCAGCAGCTCCTGAGCGCCACAGCTCCCTGGCCTCTCTAATTTGTATTTCAATGCTGAAATTTTAATGCTTCCTGGCGCAACAACGAAAGGTAAAAAATAAACCCTAGGTATATGATAGGGACAAAAGTCCACCATCGTTCCCACAAACAGGGGGGAAAAAAGGGCGTTTCTCTCATGTGCGAGACAATCTCTGAGGGGACAGGTCCGCGACAGCCCCAGCCCCTCACAGCCCCCGCTCACCTTGCACCGCCAGCTCCCGGGCCGGGGGCGCGGCGGGGCGGCCCCGGGGCAGCAGCGTCCTCAGCACGGCGCGGAGCTCGCCGGGCCCGCCCCAGGCCACGAGGAGCGGCGGCAGAGCCAGCTGGCCCCGCACCTCCCTCCAGAGCCGGCCCAGCTCCGCGGCCCCCGCCGTTCGCCCCTCCTGCCCGCCGTCGCCCCCGCTTGCCCCCGCAGTGATGATGGAGGGCGATATCTCCCCGCCCTCGCCGAGCGGCACCGTCCCCTCCGCCTGGACAGCGGCGCCGCTCAGTCTCCTGTTGGCCACCTGCGGCTTCTCCAGCCACACGCGCACGGCCGCCCAGAAGCCGCGGGGCAGCACGGCGCCGCCGGGGTCCCGCACGGCCGCCGTCCCCACCGGCCCCATCCGCCGCCCGCTGCCGCCGCCGCGCCAGGAGGCGGAGCGCGTCGCAGGCTGCTCCCGTCAGTTCCCGAGGCGGAGACGGCGCCGGCCGCAGGTACGTACCGCGTCCCCTGGCCCCCGCCTGTGGCTCTGAGGCTCCGAGTGCCGCAAGAGACCGCTGCGGTGCCGTCCTGCGGCTGAAAACGCGAGGAGCCGCCAGCTGCCAGCAGGGCGTGCGGCTGGAGGGTCGTCACGGCATGTGCTGCTCTGTTTAGGGAAGGTCTGTGCCGCTGTGACAGCTGCGTGAAAACGCTCCGGAGGGCAAACTCCACACGGGGACGGCTGACTGACACCGGACAGTCAGCCCGGCCCATCAGGGAGACAGCTCGGTACACCTTTTTTAGCAAATAACAGCACATTGTGTGGCCTGGGTTTGCCCTGTCTGAGCCGAAGCCGTGCCCCGCCGTGAATTCGGGCCGCTCCAACAGCGGCCGTGCCGTGAGCCCGCACGGAAGCGGTGCGTGCCCTGCCCGGGGGTGTCCTGCTCTGGGCCCCTGCCAGCAGCAGATTGCTCGGAAATGCAGAGCCGCTAGAAAAGAAAATAAAGTAAAACACCGGTTATATAATCTCTTAGCCGTGAGGGTACAGTATCATTATTCTTGACAGCTACCAAGTGTCTGAGCTGTGTCATTATTACGTGAGATAGTTGAGGATAGTACCCTGCAAACTGTCCTTTGCCCTCTGATTTGTGACCCGTTTTTGGTGCCCGGGTGTGAATTTGAATTACTAGCAGGAGCGCTTTCCGTGGAAAAAGGTTTCCAACCCAACATTTTGCAGTGAAACTGCAGCAGTTCTTTTCAAATTGAAAATAATGTGGTTTTTACTTCCACCTTCACACACGTTTCAAAATTTCAGAGCAAGGCTGAAATTAACGCTGAAGTTATTCTTTAGGACAGCCTGTTGTTACTTTCCTATTGCAACTACCTGTTTTGATTTCTTAATTAGGTTTTGAAACTGTTGACTTGGAGCCAAATTATATTAAACCATTGCATGAAGTCAGAAAATTTATAGTATATTTTATGTACAGAACGCTTTTTTAAATTAACTCTTAGGTTTTCTCATTTGGGTAATATTGCTGATTTGCAATGTAGATAATGTTAGATGCAATAGCTGCAATATTGCAATGTAATTTTTTCTCTTTTATGAGTGAAAAGCCTATTTTCCAATTAGAAGTGTAAAGCCTATTACAAGTGTAGTATCTATTTATTTGGCTGGAGGTTGAAACACTTTCTCAATGTCCTTTTTGTTATTTTTTATTTTCTTTCTTTCCAAACCTGTTGTGCAGTACTGGCGCTGCCTGCATCTTCCTGGAACTGATTTGGAAGTCACATGCAGAAATACTATCCTGCTGTTCCCTTCTACTGTGTTTGTACTGTTCAGAGCTAGAGCATGACCCATAAAAGAATAAGGTTGAAAGAAAAGAGAGGTATCAAGGAGATATATCAAGAAGATGGAGTGAGGAAAGGGGTTGAAAAGGCCGACTGCTGAAGTAGTTTCTCTACTTCATTATATTCAAAGTTTGTAGTAAGCCCTGGGCCAGGATATCCTGCCTATACCTCTGAGCTGCTTCTTTCAGCCAGTCCTTCTGCTGCTCTGTCCAGTGGTTTCTGCTCCCTCCAGGCACAGCAGAGATCTTTGCCGTGTGTGGTGGCAGAGATCTCTGGGAGTGCCCTGAGCAGCAGAGGGCTCTCCAGCACCAGCTTCTGGAAGCAGCAGAGGATCAGCCTCTATTTCTTTGGGCCAGGTTCTAATGAAAGGCACAATTCTCCTCTCTCTCCCGAGCCAGTGCAGTTGTACCTCCTGACAGGGAAATCTTGCAGGGTCTGTGCAGTTCTGTAGTGCTCTTGCCTGACCCATAGATGCACACAAAGTTGCCAACGGACTTCATGGGGCCTTACTGCATTTGCTGTTTGAGACATGCTATTTTCTCACTTTTATCACCCCCTTTCTTAATACACAGTATGGTGATAACCAGTGTTGTCCCTGTTTCATTTTTAGCTCATATTTTAATAACAAAGATGATGTAATTCGTTCACATTGGGTCAAAGGCATTTTTTCTTTTTCTTTGTATCAAGCCAGTTGAATTAGAAAAGGGGAAGGACAAGATTTGAGTTGCCTCTGCAGTGCTGTACTCATACATTTAAACAAATCCATGGATTTAATTAAACAACTCTTTTAATTTCTTTTTATAACTAAAAAGGCGATATCTGTGGTGCTTCAGTTTGTGTTTTATCTTCTCTCATTTGCTGCAGTTTAGCTAACAATGAATCAGAAAGAAATGGCTGGCAATCAAAACTCACGGGATAATTTGCTGGCAGATTTCCCTCAAGGCCCCCTTTCCAGATACCGTAAGAAAGCTTCCTTCAACTGGAAGGAGATGGCACTTTTCATAGATGGTGAAGATGTCATCCAGCTGAAGGTAAACTTGGCAAGAATTGTAAGAATGTTTTAATTGTGCAGATATCAGTAGAACTAAGTATGGTTTTTTTTTAAAGGGAGTATAGTTAATAATGCTCTGTAAATATGGAGCATGAAGGAATTTGATTTGTACAGCTAATTTTCAGAACAAAGCTGAATTTTTAAGCAATCTATTCTGCTGTGTCATAAGACTCATTTAATTACAGAACATCAGTACAGGGGAGAACAGCAGGTGCTACATTTCAGAATTTGAGTGTTCATTTCAAATTGAGAAATAACTGTATTCTACCATATTTCTTTACTGTTTGCTTTAAATCATAGATCATGTGATTTTGCCAGGTACTTATGCAGACCTAAGTTCAAGCCACCATCAAACAGTATTTCTGTCTTACTTTGACCTAATTTCCAATGTTCTGTGCTTGCTTTAATGTTTATGTGGCATTGCAATTGGAGATTAGCATGTGAACCTTGCTGAAAGCTAATCCTACCAAGAAAAGAGATTAACTGCAGCACAAGAGATGGTGTGGAAATGCATGACTTGGAGATATAGGAGGAGAAAGAACTAGCTTTCTGAAGGTGGTGTAGATTTACATAGATTTAAGTAATCTTGAATCTTCACCATAATTATAAAAATCCTAGCAGGTAGATCAGAGAAATCAGAAAGGCCTGGTTTTGTCTGGCTGGTGTGTGTTACAGCAGAGATAAAACCTGAAGTGTTCTGTGTCTGGAGTTTCAAAGCTGTGTGGGCATGTAGAGATGTTTACACAGAGAAAGGGAATGACTGCCTTTCAAAGGAAAGCACAGAAAGTCTGGGTTTCTTCCTTCTTATGTGAAAGACAGTTAAGAAGGTGTGGATATGTTGAAGACACAGGTCTGGGATAAAAAAATGCCGTAATATATTACCTACTACAAAAAGGATCCAAATTACAATATTAAAAGATGCACAACCCCACACTGAAGGGCTGCATATGGTGGTTCCATTAAATGGAGCCTTTTTTTACTTTCATCTGGGAGCAGAGCAGTTGTGGTGGCCTAATGGTTTTAACATCATGGCATATTTCTAACTGACTGTAAGCCCTGGAGTTTTATCTTTATCCTCAGACTGAGGGACTTTTGCCCCTTGGATTCTGCCAGCAGCTTCATGTATTGGGATAGTGAAGCTGCTACACAAAGCAAGTAAGTTTTACCATACTGTTTTTGTAGATTTAGAATGAATCACTTCATGGTGAAGGAGATGTCATAAAATTTAGCTGCATGAGCTGTATATATGACAGATAATTTAAATATATTTCCTAATTCTCTGGAAATTTTTGCTTTTTAAGTTTGTACCTTGCAGCAAACAATTATAGTTTGAGACCCAGTGTTACTTTGAAGGAAGTTAATAAGTTTTGTTAATGGTTTTGGGTCAATATTCTCATGTCAGTTTTTTCCTCTCCAAGAACAGAATCTTCTCTGCTCTGGAAAATGATCCTCTCTTTGCACATCATCCTGGAGAGGATTTGTGCCGTGAGAAGTACCAGGAGCTGACCTTCCTGCGCTGTAAAAGGCTCTTTGAGTACGAGTTCCTCACTCAGCAAGAAGCCATGGCGGACCCATTAAGGCTCTTTCATATGGTGATCTTTATAGGAATGTATGATTGGTCTCTGTGTCTCAAGTTTTTCTTACATTCTGGTGTAAGTACAGTTCAATGGCTATAGTAGTGTATGTTTGAATTTAAGTAACTTCTAATGCCATAATTCTGTTGTGCCTATTTTATTAAAACTTGATCTTTTCCTCATCCTTTCTTTTCAAGAATGGTATTAAGTTTTAACTGTTTAGAACCGTTAGAGAGCTCTGGGTGATCTTTGTTGTTAAATCCCTGTCTCCACTGGAATCCCATCTGGAAAGTAAAGGTGAAACAGTACAGACAGAGATACAGAAAAAAATTTTATGCCTTCTTTTGTTTACTCCTCTGCTTCCTCTTTAGGGTAGCCAAAGAACTTGGTTGTTGGTGGCTGTGTGCTTGCTAAAGATTTGCAGGTATCAGAAACTTACCTGCTTGAGCCCCAGTGTCTTACTGAAGGGCAGAATCTAGAAGGAATGGAAAGCAGTTTAAAATTTCTCACTGGCATCAGTGGCTGAATTCTGTTAATCAGTTGTTTCCCAGATGGGCCTCTCACAAAGAATGCTCAACATAGCTGGTCAAATATTATCAGTTTAATAAATTAATTAATTATTACTCTTCACACAGCTGGGAACGATCTAGGAATTAGATTTTTATTATGTGAATATCTATGTAGGAAAACTGAAGGCAGCTTTCAAATCAGCATTCTTGTTTGATCCTGAAGCAGCTACTTTCAGCTCCCGATCTGTTTGCAGTAAAGTGAACTAAAATAGTCTAAGTTTTCCTTTTCTCAAGGGAATATCACTAAGGACAAATGGAAAGTATTTCTAAGCAATTGCAATGAAGGCTTGAACCAGTTAGAGCTGGGATGAGTTCAGTCATCTGTAAAGGGGCCTTGACATGATCAAATCCTGACTTACCTCCCCCAGCTATAGTCTAATTATAGTTTACTATGCAGCCCACTTTCCCTGGTCTCTTTACTGGACATCACTATTAAAAGTCATGTGCAACTTGTGCTTTTCATCACAGGGCACTGATTTAATTCATTATTCTGTTTTTACAGTCATTTTCAGGTTCAATTATGAGTGCTTCTAAGAGACTTGCATACGTTTTGGAACAAGCTTATAGCATGGAGGTAATTTTTTTCTAATAATTTGTGAGAAATGGACACTATTAGAGCTGTGTTTGCACTATTTGCAGTTTTAGTGTTATTTCTCATCTCTTTACATACCTAGGTACCTCTAAATAGCAAAAGAAAAGGCCATGGAGCAGATTCAAGCATTGAACTCTGACTGTCCTTACTACTAGCTCATAAACCACTTCCTGATATGTTTTGGACTGTCTAAGTTAACATGCAGAGAAAATTTGGGAACTTTTCCCTAAAGGCGGTATAGATAACATTAGTTATCCAGTTAACCAGTTCAGGCTCTGTCCAGAGTCATTTAAGACTATCCTACTAGGATACTCTTAACCTTGATGTGTTGCCATAAAAATTCCCTTCTAATGCTATAAAATGGAAAATGTCTTAATGCCAAAGAAACACCACATGGAGTTCCATGGGGACTTGGGACCAAGCACTCTGCAGAATAAACGCAGCCTGTCTGATACAGAAGGTGCCAATCCGAAACATTTTCTCCAGTCTAGGCCATGTGGGCAGCATTTACTGTCTGGCCAGACCCTCTGATTTTGCAAGATAAATATTTTGATTGCACTTTAACTGAGCCTTGTGCTTCTGTTGTTGCTCTTTATCACTTCCTGTTTTGTTTTAGTTTGGGTTTTTTTGCCAAGTTAGTCTCTAATAGCTGAATTTGAACTCATTTGAAAGTCTTGCTGTTTCAATTAATGTAATAAAGTGGTCTTGAACTGTGCCCTCTGTCTCCTAATTTAGATTTTTGGTTGTTTTGCTCTGACTGAACTCAGCCACGGATCTAACACCAAAGGCTTACGGACTACAGCCACGTTTGATCCCAGCACTCAGGTTAGTCCTTGCTGCCCACTGTCAGCCAGGCTGCCTTTCCATACTAAACTGTGTGAGAAGGAGTTGGTCCCTGCACAGGCTTCAGCTCTCACAGCTGAAACAGCTCTCTCAGTTCTTTACTTGAACTCACAGCTCAGTTTAACCTAAGATCTAGGAAATGCTTCCCAGTTCATTAATCTGCCTTTTTTTTTAACTCCTTAAAAAAGCAATTACAAAAGTTGAGTTTCAGTCTTTACAATGAGATAATGAGCTTTTTGAGCTCTAATTTTTTTCCCTTACTACATGTGTTCTCTCTAAAGTTGAACATGATAAGAGAGATTTCAGGTGCTAGAGTGCAGTATAGAATAAATCCTGGCAGTTAATGGATGTTTTCAGAGCATTGCCAGGGTGGTGAAAAAGAAATCTGTGACCTGATTTTTATTATTTATATAATTTTCTTTTTATTTGCTCATTACAGGAATTTGTCATCAATACACCCGATTTTGAAGCTGCAAAGTTCTGGGTTGGTAATTTGGGGAAACATGCCACTCATGCAGTTTTGTATGCCCAGCTCTATACTCCTGATGGACAGTGCCAAGGATTGCATCCCTTTATTGTACAGGTAGGGTAGAAATATTGTTAATAATTTTATTCTTTTGAGGAAGAGTGGGTTCAAATTAAAGACTTGTTATGCTGTTATTTATACCTGACCAGCAGATTCTTTATTTAATACCTTTGCATTTTATTGGAATTGTAACCAGGGTACTTTTTTTAAATGTTCACTGATTTTATGAAGGATGTAGAGCTGGTTTTATACTCTCAGTTTTCTGCAAAACCTTCAGAAAATATAGAAGAGCTGAAAAGTCTCCAGATGATATTGGTACTTGTATAGATAGAACTCATCTGTGTCATATGAAGTCCTGAAAGTCTTGCACAGGACTTAAGATGATTTATGTGTGCCAGTGCTTCATGCTGATCTACATGAAATCTGCAAACTTCTACCACAGAAATAATTTTATAGAATTAAAGGCATCACAAAATATGTAGAAAATATGTTGGTGTAGTACAAAACTTGTACATAGTAAAATGTACTAGACTAGCTGCAGACTGAACAAAGTTTATTACAGAATTGTAATATTTCAGAGCTGATTGTTACATAAAAATTCCAATGGTTTCTGCTTTGTCTGTTTCTGAAGGAGGTTTCAGTGGTAATCTGATGAGAGCAGTCATCATTGTTAAGTGATATTTAAAACAGTGATGTAATTAATGTCATATTCCAAATTAATTTTCATTAAAGTATCTGTGTCCTGAATGAGAGGATGCATAAGTACAAGTTATATGCAGGATTATGTGCTTGAAAGAAACATAGAAGTCTCTTTATCATTAATATCAGGATACAAGTTGAGAATATTTTCAACCTTGGAAAAATTCAGTCAATAGCTTTCATTACTCTGTTACTGAAATGTTTTTGTTTCACTTCTGTACAGATTCGAGACACAAAAACTCTCCTACCAATGCCAGGTGTGATGGTAGGAGATGTAGGAAAGAAAATTGGGCTGAATGGGTTGGATAACGGGTAAGTCAACACATTTGAAAGAGAAAACATTCTAGGTTATGTCACACTGCAGTGGTGCGTGCAAAGATCCCCCTGTATCTGTTCTGTCCTTACTCCTGAAATGTTCACTAGTGGTTTAAAATTGTTGATATTTCTGAAAAAAACTCCAGATTGAATGATCTTGATTTTCAGTATTTTCTGTCTGAATATTAGCAGCCTTTCAGCCTTTCTCACTCTTTAAAATGTGAAGTGCTCCTGGTATTCTGTGAATATCCCCAGGTAGTCTTGCAGTTACAGACTCTTCAACAATAATAATGGAAAAAAATCTAGTAAGTTCTGGGTAAAGAACTTTATCAGCTTCTGCACAGATCTGGATGTAAGACTTTAATTATTTTTTCTGTTGATTTCCAGCCCACAGGAAGGCTAATGGTGGTCCCCAGATAAGGTTTATTTTCAGTAAAGATTAAGATAAATGAGACCAAAGAGAGAAACTATGTCTCTTGTTTAAACCGTGGGATTTCTAGATTGCAGCCAAGAAATAGATTGCTAGTTATTTTCTTCTGTATTGTGTGTGTACAGTTGAAATAAAATCGTACCTGGCTCCATTTTTTAGTCATGGACTCCAAGGGCCTTTCTGTGTCTGCTTTAATAACCAAAGGTGTTTGATGGGGAGGAGATACAGTGAGAAAACAAAGGCATATTTCTGCATTAGAACAGTCATTACGTAAAATTTATTTAAACTGTTAGATTAGTTACATAGCTCTGTATAAAGACATAAACTTTAAATGGCAAAGAAAGGTTTCACTTCCTTATGCCTCAAATTTAATTCTTTCTGTTGATTCAGTTTGTTACAGATTTTTCTATTGTCCTTCAAAACAGATCATTGCAGTAAACACAGTATAGACATCTGAAAGTATCCTGGTTTCAAATATTATGGCATTGACTTTATTTCCAGAATGTTGTAGGAATTTTATGGTTATTTAGCTCCTTATCATTTATTCTCTGTTTCCTGAAGACATGGAAGAAATAAATTTTAAAAACCTGAAACAACCCAAAATTAATTTGTAGAGGAAAACTGTAAGAAAGACTTGGAAAAGAGGGATATTTAAGGTTTGGTGGGTATTTTTTTTCTGCTTCTGCATTACAGACTAGTAGCCACCAGATGGCACAGCAGCATGGGCCTGAGTAATCTAAATGTTAATCAACTTCATATTTCTATAGAAGTATTTAAATTCTGCTGTTCATTCTTATATTGCAATATGGATTTATGTGCAGCACGGGAATGAAGAGTATGCTTGTTATGTGACTTTAAATGTACATAATTTTAAATCCTTTTCTCCATTATCTACTGGAAAAAATAGAGTATTTATTCAAATACAGATAACAACTGATAAAATTTGAAATTATAATCCATAAAATGCTCTTTAAGTGAGATACCAGTGACTCCCTATCTTAATGTCAGATAAAGTCCCTTATCTATCATATGTCATTTAAAGCAGTCATAGAGCATTCCTGTTTACTTAGTATATGTTGTTTCAAGAAAATTATTAGTTCAAACAATAGTGCCCAAAGAACCCCTGTCATGGGTATAGATCTCTTAAATATGCATTAAGATAGTCCCTGCATTAGAAACCTTAAGACAGCACTTGAAGATTAAGAAAGAAGTATGAGGTAGCCCAAGCTTATCCATAGATACCCCTCATTTAGCTAAAATCTCCAGTGTCCTGTGTTCCTAAACTACTTTAGCTGCTTTGTTTTTTGGAGAGGTCTAAGACTGCAGGCAGGCCAACATTGTTGTCAAGAACCAGGGAACCAAGTTCTGTTCTGCAATGTTCCTGCACACACTGAGATGTCAGAGCCATCAGGGCTTGGAGATACCAGCTCTCAGAGGCACATGAAGGTCTGGATGGAGACTGGAGTGGAAGTTCTGCATTTGTGTGCAGAGACAGCAAGCCATGCCACCCTAGAAAATGGACTCTTGGTTGCACGATCTGCAAAATGCCAGGATCCACAGCGAGATATTTCACCACATACACCTTGTCAAGGTATTCTCCTTGTCCATTTAGCAATCTTACATCCTCATTTGTCTCAGAGAAAGCACAGGCTGGTGTTAGTCTCCACTACATGCACTGACAGGTTATTTTGAATGTGTCTATGAAGTCTGGTTCAGCTACCATGAGCACTTAGTAAATCAGGTCTGTTTCCACGTAGTTACACTCAGGATGTGTGGTCACAGTGGGGATCAGAGTCTGACATCTCTGACAGATGTTTGCTTTTGTTCCTGTGCTTCAAGAAATTTATGCTAATAATTTTCAGTATGGATACAGAGAGTTTAGTTCTTGAACGTTAATGAAGGTCACGGGGAAGAAATTCCAGAGCCTCCTTAGAAAATGCAAGTGATTTATGCTATGTAAGAAAACAGAGTAGTTGATTGTAGTTGTCCATTCTGGCTTTGAAAAGCAGTTATTCTCTTGGGTTGTTTGGCTGAAAGCTGGTTTCCTGCTGATGCAGAGTATAATTTTTTTTAGTAAGAGAAAGAATGTCAGAAATAATGTGGAAATTTTTGCAGTGTGAATCCATTTCTAAAATTATCTTTCCAAGTAATTCTCATAGTTTCATAATGTGGATGTCCAAAAATCACATGGTGTTTGCAGGTCTTTGTAACTGTAGCTGCCCTGACAAAAAAAGACAAAAACACTGTAAAATATTTTGAAATATTTTTTTTTCTAGGAAATTTACAATAATTTGTGTAATCAATGCATAAAGGGATAAAAATAGAACTCTATTTTTTCTTATGGAAAGGATAAATTTGGTTTGTGTTTTGTTACTGAAGTTAAATCAGACTGCCACCAGGGGATGCAAATGCTTCAGTCTTTATTTTATAATATTAAAATGTCCACCTGTTGCTAGTGCTCTGCTCACTGAGGACCCAAAATGGTAGTAGCTGAGGGAAAAAAAACCTACTGAGAAGATCCCTGAGTATTTGGGATTTCAGGGGCCTTTCAGTAAAATGCGTAGCAGGCATAAGGAGTGGAGGGCTGGCACACACATAAAACAAGAGCTGGGCTATGTGTTGATGTGCATTTCTGTTTCCTTCCTTTGATGTGGTTTTTTTTTTTTTTGTTGTTGGTGGATTTTTGTTTGTTTGTTTGTCTGTTTGTGGTTTTTTAGGGGGGCAGGGTGGGGAAGGATGTACGTTGGGTACTGGAACATTGCCCAGATTGCCCATTAACTCAGTGCACATCAGTAAATGACACTGAATTGGTGGTGAAGCATTTTCATGTCCAGTTGTAACAAGCAGCAAATTTCTGCTTTCCCCTCTCCAGAGATGGAAATGATGCCCAACTGTACCTGCATGGGGAAGAGTGAAAATCAGCTATAATTGTATTTCTGAAGTAGTGCTTACCCTGCCTCTCTTTGTAAAACACGTTCTGAGCTCATTCAGCTGTGTCCACTGATAACATGTATGCAGTCTGTTAAGCAGATAAAACCCTTTGTAAGGGAAAAACTAGAAAAATGAAAATGTCATTTTACCTTAAGCCCTTGTAGGGGAGGAAAGGGTCTTTCTAGAGGAAGAATTAACTGGATCTTATGATGATTGGGGGCTTGGGAAAACTGATGTGGTTTATTGGCTGTTTAACAGCCTTTCATGTACAATTAAAATGTAGTCAATCTTTGCACACGTACAACACACTAAGCTGTTCAGCATATTCTCTAACAATCAATGAGGCCAGATTTAGTGTTCTGGATACTGAAAACAAAACAGAATGCCCAAGAAGAAATGAGTAAAGGGGATTTATTTGATAGAAAAGCAATAAATCGCATGAAAGGATCCTTCTGGAAAGAGATGGCTCAGAAAGCCCTCACTATAATTCCTTATATATTGACAAAGATAGGATATATCACATGACTTCCAAGCCTTTACCAATTGCATTTAAATGGTTAATTCATACTTTATTTCTTCATTCCTATTTCAGCATCACTGCCAATAGTATAGTATGATGCTGCTATTACTAGTTTAAGGACAGAACAATCAATCAGTCTAGTCCTTTTTGTCTTCTACTATTTATCCTCTTAATGCTCATTTAGATTTTGCAACTGTTGCAGTTATTTCACCAGGAAGATAGGAGCTATAATAAATGGTTGAAGCCTAAATAGTCTTTGGAACTTCATCTTTCAATCTGAAACAGTAGTTCAGTGAAGATATCTATAATCAGCTTCTTTGGTTATTTGCTTCTACTTCCACACTACCTTTTTCTTTCTGCTTGATGAACATTTATGTAGCTGTAGGGGAACTGGAACTGCATAAAAACTAATGAAGAAACCCTACCAGTTTTTGTAGTCTTCAGTCAGATAATTTGTCAGGTCTGGTTCACTGCATGGCCTTAGGAGTGGCTGTTTTGGTACAGGAAAAAGAACAGAGATGTAAGAAATCAAGTCTAAAAATCAGTCCTTCTTCCCAAATAAACAAGCTTGGGCTTGTTTAATATTTTTATTGACTTACAGCCTCTGACCTAAGTATCAAACCATTGTGATAGCAATAGCAATGAAGTGGCTATAGATGAAAAAAGAATGTTCAAATGCTTGTGCCTGTATTTACGTTATCTGAATACACCATGAACACTTCAGTCCTTGTGAAAAGTGCCACTTTCACAGTTAAAACTAGGTATTTTGCAAACACATCTTGCATGTTTTCAGTTTAAGTTAAAGCTGTGCTTTTTGCAGCAGAATCATTGACATTTCCCTGTTTGGCCCCCCTCCTGTCGTTTCTGCAGTCAGAGTTGGACACTATGTGAGTACATACAGTGTTACTGGGCTGTGGTCACATTGCTGCAGAGTGCTGCCTTATCCCCTCATTTTTGTCATGTTCATGTGCCTCAAAATTCTTCAGCAGTAGCTGCTTCACACTGAAAGGCATTTGATGTGGGTGAAAATAGGGAAAGGTAGACTTAAATCTGGTCACACATTTGTTTTTTGATGCACAGAAATACAGCCTCACATCTGCAGTGAACTTCAACCAGCCATTTTTGTTCCTTAGCAGAGCTCTGTCAGCTCTTGACAGCTGCAGGAGTCTGCTCATCCAGAGTTCCTCACAACATGAGCTGGACTGTAAGAACTTAAGTCTAAGTGAGTCTTTGTGTGCCTGTGAAGTCCATTAGGTTAGGATTAGGAGGCCTATAAACTATGTTGTTTTATCATTGTTATTGAGCATTACTGTACAGGGCTGCATTCTTACATTACAGCCTTGATTGTAGAAAATAAAACTAAAATACTGCCACACAATTTCACTGTAAGAGTAACTCTTCTCAGCTCTAACCTTTCTGTGAGCATCAGTCTAGAATATGTCGCAGTTTTCTTTTCTTCTGCAAGTTTTTCATCAAACCTCTGAAATGTTACTCTTCCCAAGGTTTAATGTACCCCATAAACAGCCCTGATATCAACTGACTCACAGCCTTCCAATACCATTCACCTGGTTTCTGTTTCTGGCTGGAAGTCTGGCTTTAGAGATGATTGCACCATCTCTAAGATAGTCAGTAACAAAAGCTGGCAGAAAAGGATTTTAGTGAGTCTGAAGTTCACCAAAGCATGTTTGAGCTATTTGTACTATAGGTAACAGTTTATTACTTTAGTACTGGCAAAAGGAGCTTGTAGCTTTTCCAGCTGCTCCTCTTTTATCAGCATTGCTGCACACCAGATGAATTATTATTGCTTGATTTAAAGTCAGTGAGATTAACTTAGTTTGAAATGTTCCCTAAACTACTGGCCAAGGAACCCAAACAAGAATGCTACTATTGGAATGGCACTTTCCTCTGCTCAGCGGCTCTTGGTAGAAATCTATGTGACACAGTTTTTTTTTATCTGTGGTAAAAAATGTGTCTACAGGATGCAAAATTGCACATTGCTGTAGAGGCCTGTGATACCTATTGAAAGTGACAGCTGTCTGTCTGTCTTGCTGAGAGGCCTTAATCCCAGTCACGCTATCTGCTGTGCTGAAGAGGCCCTAAGTAGGGCAGCTTTTAAACCTCTGGTCTTGTCATCACTGTGTGAAATTTAGCCATTTTCCAAACTTGCTGGTACATGATATCCCCATGACTGTGTATACAGTTCCATTATTGTAAGATATTTCTTCAATTCTTTAAGATTTTTTTCCCCTAAATGCATTGACAGATGTGGGCCAAGTCCATGCTTTCTAGGCTAATAACCATTAAAAATGTGATCATTGACTTCATTAAATCTTACTATTTATTTTTAATATGTTCCAATATCAAGTTCCAATTGGCCAGTATGTCTAACAATTCCCAATAGCGAAGTTCTTGGAGAAGGAGCATAACAGCAGTTGGCAGCAATCTCACAAGGTCACTTAACCCACCAGTCCTGTGAGGTTCTGCTTTTATTTTCAACACTTGTGCTTATAGGCAAAATATCTTATTCCTTTACACATGGAAATTTTCTGTTGAATTTTTAATTGCTAATTCTGCTGCTCTGCTTTGCTTCTTAAAGTCTTTGCCATCTGATATGTATATCCACATATTTTTATATAATATTATCTGTAATGGATAATATCAAGGGAAAAAATCTAAACTTTAAAAACCTGTTACTTGAATTCATTTTGATTTTAAGAAAATAGGCTACCATATAATGAGAGGAAATTCAATATTCTGGTTCACTAGCTGTGGGTGAAGTTATTAAAGAAGGGTGTGCTTGTACTTTTTAATCATAATAATTTTAGGTCATCTTTTATGTGGTACAGAATTAGCTTCCTTATATTTGTGTCAGACAGATTATAATAAAACTTTCTTGAACGTTTTTCACTCTTTCCAACAGAAGACTTCCCTTAGATTTAACTGTTTGGGATTGTATTAAGCAAGTAAAAGTGGATAAAATCGTTTAGGTCATTTTGGGAGCTGTTTTGTTCAGCACACATCTGTCACATGTTTATTATGAGTAGGTTTGGAATTCCTGAAAGTAGGCAATTGGTATATAGGTTTATAAAGTAGTAGCTTTCAGTTTGCTTTTTATAAACACTTGAGTCTCAAGCACAGGTCAATATAAAAAAATTTCTACAGCTGCACAACTTTGCTTAGTGAATACGCACTACAGTGTAAAACACAACACATAAGAGAGGAGAATTTGCCATTTTATTAATTGTCCTTGTCTCCCAGGTAACAAATGACAGAACAAAAGGAAGTGTCCTCAAGTGGTACCAGGCGAGGTTTAGGTTAGATGCTGGGAAAAATTTCTTCACTGGAAGAGTGTTAAGACATTGAGATGGGCTGCCCAGGGAAAAGAGGTGGAGTCATCATCCCTGGAAGGGTTCAGAAGATGTGTGAATGTCACACTTGGGGATGTGGTTCAGTGGTGAACATGGTACTGCTGGGGAAACGGTTGGACTCTGGTATTGAAGGTGTTTTCCAGCCTAATGATTCTATGAATGCTGCCGTGAAATCTTACCATTCATCACATACAAGGCTAAGCATGTTCCAGATATGTATTTGCAGAGAGAAAGCCTAAGAACTGGAGCCCTTTGAAATATGGTCTAATATGTGCCCCAAAGATTGCATCATCTCTCTGTTAGGTCAACTCTTCCTATAGTCTGGTTTATAATTCCAGTTTTTATCACCCATTCAATAGCTTTTTAAAGTAATATTTCATTGCTTCCTTCCATGCATCCCTTCCTGCTTGGGAGGGATCCTTATAAACATCCATGGAGCTGTCTTAATTTCATCACTTTGATTTTTAAAATTCTCATTTGACTCAATGGCTTGTAAAAAATGATGAGCTGCTGGTGTGCTGTGACTGGCAGGCATCCTGTCAGGAAAATATCCTTCAGTAATTAGTGTCTGCTTCACTGTTTGAACATAGTTGTAGCTTCCTACCTTATGCTTGGATTGTAAGATCCTAGGAGGAAGCACCTTCTTGCAATTCTGTGGGTGGACAGCAACTGTGAAAAATGAGTATAAACTAGAAACCTAAACCTTTCCACACACACAGTTCTGTAATTAAAGTAATGAGTAATAATAATTTAAAAGCTCAAGTTCTTTCTAAGGTTCATGCTATTACTTAAAAATATTTGTTGTTGTACAGTTTTAGTTGTGATTCTTTTTGGGTTATAGGGAAAAGAGAATGTGAATTTAGCCAAAAGATCTTTCTAGAAAGATAATTTGTAGTTTCAGTGATATGAAAAAAAATTTAACATAGATGGAAATTAGATTTTTGGAAAATCTGAATTTGCTTCTATTACTAAGTAGTGTAGTCTCACTGAAATTGGCATTTAACAAAGCACTTATTGGAGTTGTTGAGGCAGCTGGTTCTTGGTTAGGATAGCACGCCTTTCTCTGTGTCTAAGTCTGAAAATACTGTGTATCTCTAAGGCTGAATAAATTCAGTATTCAGATATGTTTCCTTGGAAACAACTCATAATTTAAAAGCACATGCAGCAATGCAGCCCTTATGTAATTTATTAATGTGAAAGACCTGGCTCTCGTGAGCCATATTAAACAGATCAGCCTTTATTGGCAGGAAAAAGGAATTTTCTTTGATTACAAATACAGCTTTTCAAGTACTATTAGATAGTGAGATATTCATGAGTGGGGTTGATACTGCTGCTATTGTGCCAAATTGTGCTGCCCATTTGGATGAAAAAATTCAATCACTTTCTTCCTGAAGAATATGAATACTCAGGACATTCTTCCTATCTTAAGAACTTCCATCTTTATTGCTGCTAGAGTGCTGCAATTTAGAAGGGGTTATGCTGCTCTTCCTTTTCTAAGATACCACATTTCAGGGAATAGAATTCCTAATATGAGTTTAAACAAAGGAAAATTTTCCTTTCAGTTCCTTCTCAGGGCACTGTTTCAGCTATGTCCTTATTTGTATTGCAGTAGAATGAGTGATCCTCACAGGTCTATATTTTAGACTCATAAAAATATATAGTGTCTCTATTCCAAAGCAGTCTCCAGACTGGAATAAACAACACCTCAGTTAAGAATACAGTTCTGCCGAGTTGTTTGAGGCAGGGAATTATTTGGAATGAGAATGGCCCAGTCCTGTTCTAGGTGGCAGAAGGAAGTTGTTCATCTTCCCAAGCCTTTTAACTGCTGAGAGTCCAACCTAGCCAACCTAAGTCATGCAGCCTGAGAATTCAGTTCAGCTTTCTGAGGTGTCAGTGAAAGTACCTGTCAAACTGCCTGGGTACAAGGTCTCTGATAAGTAACTTTACTTGTGTCTTCCCTCAATCAGAATACATTACTTATCCTTCCATTCTTTTTTACTTCTTTCCTTACAAAGCTGAAGTGGGTTTTTTTGGTTTTGTAATCATCATCTTTTTAAAACAGAAGATCAAAAATCAGTAGAGTTACAACAAATAATTTCTCTTCTTGAATTTATTGTACTGCTCTGAGTCTGAAAGTCTTTGTTGTCCCAGGCATACTTCCCTAAAATTGCCTATTTGGCCTGATGGGCTCTGTTTTCAGTTCACTGATATGCCTGAGATAATTTTGCAATCCCCTCTTTCTTGTGACCTTTTTTCTGTAATACAAACACCTCAGACTATGTAGACATAGATTTTATACTGTTTGTGTATTTGTTTAAACAGATTTGCCATGTTCCACAATGTCAGGATACCAAAAGAAAACATCCTGAATATAGCTGGAGATGTCACAGCTGAGGGGAAGTACTCAAGTTCTATCAAGGTATGAAACAAGATCTTGTTTCATGAAATATACAAAGGTATAAGTAGGTTGAGAAACTGTGCAATGGGCCTCTTATGTCAGGAAGACCTGAACTTAAGAAGGCTGTTGGCAATTTCACGAGATATGAATGTTGTTTTTTAAATTGAATTTCAGAGATGTCTCAACTCACCTTGCTGACTTTACTGAACTTTGTGGTTTCTGCATGACCCCACTGATCCCAAAGAGTTTAGAGTTTGACTGTGTTCAGGCAAGACTATTCTGAGTCTCCCCTGAATGCCTCATCTGAACGAGTCAGGAGACAAAATTGACAAAATTGTTTCTTCTCATGCTACCAAGTTGCATCTTTGTGGGGGTAAAATGAAATGTTAGCCTCAGCATTCATTCTGTGCTTCTATTCATTCAGGAGGTTAAAGAACGTTTCAGTGCAGCTCTGGGATCCTTGTCCAGTGGCAGAATTATGATCACAGGACTTTCCACAACCAACTTAAAGCTTGCCTTGGCAATAGCCATTCGCTTCTCAGCAGCTCGCCGTCAGTTTGGACCCACTGAGGATGAGGAAATACCTGTCCTTGAATACCAAACACAGGTAAACACTTTGGAATTCTATCTACAGACTTCTATGTAATGAGACTCACATTCAGAGCTACCGCAGATCACAGTAGGGACTCTGAAGTTAGTGAAATTAAAGTTGTCTATGTCACCTGAAGTATCATTCCAGTACAGCTGTGGGGGTTCATTCCAGCTCAAAACCTTCTCCTGGCATGACCAGGCTTTTAGAACAAGTTCTGGAAGAGCAAAACCAAAAAAAATTTCATGTTTTCTCTGAAGTAGCTGGAAGCATTTGTCTTCTAAAATAGTAACCTTGTAAGAGAAAGGCTGTCTTACATACACATGCAAAAGTACTGCAGATGTAGATAGTAGAAAGTAGCATTTGTTTCAAAATATCTGTGCTTCTTTTGTTTCTATGCTGTTTCTCATTTGTAGCCTGTTATGCTTTAAAAGTATAGAACTCAATAACATTCATTGTGGAAAACTCTCAAGCTAATAGTGATTTAAGAGGATTATAACCAAGGTTTACCTGCAGTTGATGCTAATGAGAAACACTTTTTGCTCTGAAAAAAATAAAACAACTGTATGTAGAATGACTGGGAAAACTCAGACCTGCTGAATGACAGAGGTTATTATATAAAAAATGGTGAAAACAAACCTGCCCAGTTGGTCCTTGCAGTGTGGGTGCCTTTTTCCAGGTCGACACTTATCTTGCAATGTTGAAACATTTCTGGAATTTCTGAAAACTGGTGGAAGGTTCCTTCCTTCCACTATTTCTGGAAAAGCCAGGGTCTGCTTTCCACTGGTCTTTGAGTCTCTCAGTTTCTCCCAGTTTTGGCTTGTTCTGTGGGTTCCGCTTGCTGAAACTCCCATTCCCTTCTTCCTTTACAGAAAAGACTTTCAAGCAGCTTTTCTTTTCCTTCATGAGCCCCATGAAATGGTTACAACCTCTGTATGTTTGTACTGAGGAAAGTTACGAATCGTGACTGACCCAGACATGCCAGACGTTATATAAACACATGCCAAAAGTATGTCTTTGGTCTCCAAAGCTCCAGTGAACTTTTTCCCTGGTTTAAAGAATGCTTATCACAAGTTCATGAAATGTGAGAACTAAAACAATATAACTTGTATAAAGAGAACAATAACCACCTATAACATAATTAAATGTAATTAAATTATATTTCAGGTGGTTGTTGTTCTCTTCTCTATTAAGCAGATTTCCATTTAGAACACAGTAAAAATTAATGAGTTGGTTCAATATAATAACTATTAAAAACATATATCAATTTGTAATCAAATCAATTTAATTCTTTTTTTTTTCTAGCAATGGCGTCTTTTACCTTATCTGGCTGCTGCATATGCCTTAGATTATTTCTCAAAGTCCCTGTTTGGGAACTTTGTAGAGTTTTTTGCAGGTGTTTTGGCAAAGGACAGGAATCAGAGACAGGTGAGATGTTTACATATTTCCTATTCACTGAGTTCTTACTATAATAATCTGGGAACTGTTCAATGGAAGACCAATTTAGAAGTCTTATGCTTTCTTGTGATCAGGAATGATAGAGCAATGTGTCAGAAATATAGGGCATTTAAAGTACTGATTGAAGTTGCATTCGAAAAGCATTCAGATTAGTTTTGATGGAGTGATTAACATTTTATTGATTTCTGTGGGATTGAAGGTTGTGTTCTCTTGCAGAATTTTTTATCATAAATATATTATGATGTTGTAAATTCTGCTTATAACTGTTGTAAATGATTATACAGGGAGCATATATCAAAGTGAAAATTTCTGAAAATATCTTAATTCCTGCACAGACTCTCTGAGTCTGACTTGAGTTTGAAATTCAAATTCATGCATTAAAATAAATATTTTTAGTGAAAAAAGTTGACTTCTGAGCCTTAGTATTGAATTTTTCATCCACAGTGAGCCTACTGGAAGTCATCCCTTTACAGAAGAAATAGTTTAATCTATGAGTCTTTGTGCAGGGACTGATTCTTATCAAATTAACTGCAATATTGTGTTTTTACAGCATATAAATTTTGTATATTTTTATAATTTTTGGCAATAAAACATTTTAAGGCCTACGTACTGCTGTGTATTGCTCAAGTCTTTCTTAAGTCCTTAAGCTTTTTTCAGCTAAAGCTCACTAAATAATTTGTACTAATGTTAGTGTAGAATATTTTAATTTCTCCTCTTTCCACAGAAGAATCTATTTGACTCGGGTTTGATATCGGGTTTTTACCTGATACTTCATCTCTGGATGTCTGCAGTGCAGTCACTAATCTTAGGGGAAACAGTGGCTATCAGGAAAAAGTCATGATAGGAAAGAATCTTGCTGTTAAAATTTTTAAGAATGTAATTCTTATGAATTCCTTCTGTTCTACAGGAGATCTTTAACAACATCAATCAGGGAGGTGCTCTTAAATAAGCTTTGGTTGTATCAAGCCCCATGTCCAGAAACCAGAATTCTAAATGCATTTTCAGAAGAAGGTCAACAGAGTTAGTGTAAATTCAGGCCACTATAATTCTCTGGAGTCTCTGAGGGTGTACATAAAAATTTTCCTCCTCTTTGCAAAACTGATGCTTAAAAGATCACTGAGAACTGTGTAAGGCAATAAACTTTATAACTATCCTATTGCTGGCTAGGGAGAGAGATACTGCTTATGTCACAGAGGGAATAGAAGCTTTTTCTGGACAGGCCACCCTCAACCACCTGCTTCTCCATGTTTGGGAGGGAAAGCTTGGCAGGTGGTGAATTAACTCACTCAGTGCTGTGCCTGCTGGTACAGCTGAGCTAAGATGCACCCATGTGCCCATTACCTGACACAAATTATTGCTGTCTCATGTAGGAAAGTTGGTGCTGAAGGTTCCTCAGTTGTGGCAGGGTTTTTCTGTGGCACCAAAGAATACACTTTGCACTTAGATAGATCTCAGAGAATTTTATGTCTGTATTGTCTGTATTGTTCATTATAAAGCAGTACATGTATCTATGGCTTTAGCTGGTCACCAGCTTAATTTCTATGAAAGTTATTCCTCATTTATAATTTGTTTTTCACAAAGGCTGATTTGGGACGTGAGATTCATGCTTTATCTGCTGCCAGCAAATCACTGGCATCTTGGACTGCTCAGCAGGCAGCCCAGGAGTGCCGAGAAGCTTGTGGAGGGCATGGTTACCTTGCCAGTAAGTTACAGACACTGCATGCACCGATCAGAAAGAGAATGGTTATTTTATTGTGTTCTTTGACTGCTGTTGTGCTGTGATTTCTGAATTTTAGTAATGTGTTTAGAAAGTATTTTATCCTCATATACATATTTTTAAATGTTATTTCATACTTGAAGTCATAAAAAAAATCCCTAAACCCATACAGGATCCGCATCAGCGTTTAGACATACTGTGCAAGTAATTCAGTCTCAGTTTCAAATCTAAAGATGCAGACTTTATAGATGAAAATTTCTCTTGTAAGTTTAATGCAGCGCTTTTCTAAAATCTTTACTGTACAAGGTAATCAGTGAATTTTCAAGCTCATCTGTTTGTAACAGTAATTTTACTTATGAGAATAGACAAAATTTGTCACAGAATAATTATTTAATCTTTCTTAGCTTCTACTAATATGTTGCAATATATTGAACTGTGCACTTGCTCTTAAGTGAATCGTCTGGGTGAAATCCGAAATGACAATGATCCAAACTGCACATATGAGGGAGATAACAATGTCCTGCTTCAGCAAACCAGCAACTACTTAATGAGCTGGATGAATTACATAAGAGGTATGTTTTCATTGTGGAATCTTAGTGCACCTAACAGTGTGTGGCTAATGGAATTAGGAGGTATTTTCATACTGAAAGCAATTTACAGTCATTTAATAATTTTTTGGAACATAAATAATGTGCTTCAGACTCCCATCATATGGTACATTCACAATACAGAAATATTTGCTGCAGGAAATATTCTGTCTCCTGTCTTGCAGCAGCTAACTAGATGTTTTGCCATCCCTAATCAGGTTAAGCCATATCTTACTCCCTGAGAAGTGCAGTTTAGTTCAACTGAATTACCTCAGCACTGCATCCTGGTCTGAAGAGCTGTCTATCTACATGGGCAGAGAATCATGGCCTTTGGTTTTAAACTAGAAGATGAGAGATTCAGATTAGATGTTAGGAAGAAATTCTTCTCTGCAAGGGTGATGAGACACTGGCACAGGTTGATTAGAGCAGTTGTGGATGCCCCGTCCCTGGAACTGCTCAAGGCCAGGCTGGATAGGGCTTGGAGCAACCTGGTCTAGTGCCCTTGTCCAGGATGGGAGGGTTAGAACAAGATGATGTTGAAGGTCCTTTCCAGCCCAAACCATTCTATGATTCTGTGACTCTGTATTGGTAAAGTCATCATAAGTCTGTTTATTGTACTTGGAACAGTTCATATCACCTGACTTGGTAGCAATGTCCATCACCACATCTTGGAGTTCTCTAGATTTTGTTTCAGTTTTCCAGCAGTGAGTTTCACTAGCATCTTACAGAGCTGGAAAGCTCAGCAGTTGGAGTTGAATCTTATGGAGAATAATTTCAGGCAGTGATGTCAGGTTTTTCCACACTTGCCTACCAGTCCTCTTTTGGCTGGACCAGGCCATAATAAAATAAGTATTATGGTCTAATTGCATTTGGCCTGTCAAGTGTATGCATGGCTTTGTAATAGGCTTTTAGTTCCAAAAAGTCTGATTTCTTTTCTCATAAATCATTTTTATTTTCTCTGGTATTTCAGATAAAGCTCCTTTTGAATCCCCTTTGGGAACAATAAACTTTTTGCAAGACTACCATCATATTCTTGGCTGGAAATTCACAGCCATTAGTGTTGAAGATTGCATGGACTCCTCAGGTAGGCTTCTGCTGTTATTAGACTGATTCTAGAACTTTAAATTCCTTTCCAATGGAAAGGATCCAGAGATTTGAGATTCAACCTCTGCTGCTAATTCGATATTTGTCATATTTGCTGACATTTCTTGTATTACATGTATTTTTATTTACTAAGAACATAGTTTGCATTTCAAAATACATTCTATTTCCCCCAAATTCATTTCTGGAATGGAGGATAACATCAGATATTATTTTTTCTCTTTTGTTCCCTTAAAATAGCATCTCTGAGTTAGGGTTTTTCACCACTTTATTGCTGTTTTCTGGTTCTAAGATTGCCACTATCTTCTATCACTAAAATAGCTTATTTTAGAAAACCATACAAGGGATTTACAAGCATGTTGAAAAGGCATGAAGTTCATCTGCTTTTGACAGGTGCTTTTTGTTGTGTAGTGAAAAATTAGTAATGGTGGAAAAAGAGTTTCCTGTAGTTTTCCTGATTTAATCTGCTATAATCAAGTCAAGTATGACATTAGATGCTGTTCCCATTTGTGTATCACTGAGCCCAGATTGGCCCTTGGACACAAAAGTTAAAAAGAATACCAAAACCTAATAAGAGAGCAACAGCACATGTTCTCTCTTCTCATGCAATACCTACTGAACCAGACCATAGTTAAAAATGTCTGAATCTGTTTCTTGATCCATTCTGTTACAAACTGGACTGTTAATCTAAATGCCTTAATTTAGTCAGCATGTGAACACTCCCTATGCCATAAGGTATCCTCTACATGAAATCTTCAGCTAAGAAACAAGCTGGATTCATGCAAGGACCTCATGCTGAATAACTTTTTACCTTAATAGTTCTAGGCTGCTCTTATAAATATGACACAATTATGTACAAAGCTAGTAATTTAAATGTGATTACATTCAACCACCAGTGAAAACAGTGTTGCAAGTCACATGCTTCCTGTAATTGTGGAGTGTCTTCTGTTCTTGTATTCTCAGAAGAGACTTTGTACCTTGCAGGCCTAAGTCTTCATATGGGGAAAAAAAAAGCAGCAAAAAAATTTATTTAAGTAAGAAATATAAACTCAGCTGTGGATACACCTTGTCTTCCAGCTTGGGATCAGTTTGAAGTAGTGTATGGCCAGACATGATTATGTCTTCAACTGTACCCTCACAATCTGACTGTTGTCCCCAGATATTTATTGTATCTACATTAATGGAAAAAGTGACATGTTAATGGATTGATTAATTGATGGTTTCACTTTTCATCTCAACTAACAAAATCTGGGGCTGGCAATAGAATTTTCATGTGACTTTTTGTATCATAACTGTGAATGTTAAAAATTCTGCTTTTTTCTTTTTCATAGTTCCTTTAGCAGCTTATAAATGGTTGGTTTGCTACCTGCTCCGAGAAAGTGACCTAAAAATGAATAAGGAGAAGCAGGCTGGACAAAGTGATTTTGAGGCAAAAAACAACTGTCAGGTAATACTTAATAATCTTTCTTATTTTATTCATTTCTTTTCATCCAAGTCTTTCAGTTTCTGTTAGTTTTATCTTCTTCTGTCAGAAAGTACAATTTCCTGAACCATAAAGCAGCAAGTCAGATAACTAATACTTATAAAACTTAATACCTGACCATGTGCATTGCACAGAACATGATAGCATGAGGACAGTTACCATCAGTAGAAATCTTCCAGGATATATTCAGGATATATTTCCCTTCAGAAAAGTTGCAGGCATGTGCTGTGTGATGTCTGCAATTTTGATAGCACAACTTCTGAAGACTAAATCTATCAGTATTAAATACACTGCAGTATGTGATTATTACTTCTCCATCTGCACTTGTGGCCAAATACATAGTGTAGGAAAGAATCTTGCTCTGGCAGGTAGGTAAACTAGATGACCTAATAGATCTTTTTCATCTCTAATTCCTATAGTGCAAAGTACTCATGAAAGATACCAGACTGACAGCATTGGAACCTGAAAAGGAAACATTGACAATTTACATATAGCAGATCCACTCTCTTACCAGTGAGTTTTAACAGCTAGGAATGGCTTAACTCCAAATTTCAGTATTTATCCCCAAGCTCACCAGATTCCTCTACTACCTCCATGAGAAAAATTGGCTCACATCCAAGGAATGAGCACTTGTCATTTGTCACTGAGAAAGGTCAGTTCCCTGAAGATGGTTGGTGTCATTTACTTTATCTGCAAAGCTAAAAAACAGCAGGAAGGAATAGTCAACATTCAACTCTGTACCTAGAAAGTCCCAGCCCGGCTTCAACAGGGGATGATCTGTGTGAAACCACTAATAGGGGGGAGAAAAATCTTTCCTGCTTTTACCCTAGAAGCAGCTTATAGAGAAATTCTTCAGGGTCAAATCCAGACTGGGAATTGCCAGAAACTCCAGGCTGATTGCCTGTCAGTTAGCCAGGTTTTGGTGAAGCTGGTGTTTGGGCCAGTGCATTAGAATGGTGAGCTCAGAAGTATGAAGATTTTCTTATCTATTATATTTAAAATTCAAAGAGGTTCAGGCACACAACTGCTTTTGGGATAGGTATTGGTATGCTTTAGGTCATTAGTTTTTCTTTTCTCCCTACAATTCATCCTCAGGACAGCAGGACTTTTTATTTTAAATGTCATGCCTCAAAAACATTTGAAAATGATTTACAAGCTATGCTTTGAAGACATGTATATATTTGATTTAAAACTTTCTGGGCATGAAGAAGCACTTCTCTGTCAGCCCAGTGGTTGACTAATACAAAATATTTGTTCATGCAATGGGGGATCTGGAAGAGATTCCTAGGCTATCCCTAGGTTATTTTGGTTTGGACACAGCTTGATAGAAACAGTAGAGAAGTGCAAGCAATGGGAAAGAGGAAAATAGAATTATAGGGGAGAACAACAGGAAAATAATTATTAATGTTTCATTTGGGATGTTAAGATGCATTTCATTCTGACTAGGGAATTAGCGTATCTCAAAAATACATCTAGTAAGGGGTCAGTCCTCCTTAATGCTGCAGAGAATAGAGGATGTGTATTTTGCTGTAAATAATAATTTATAAATGTTTTTGAGCTTGGACATAAGTGTGCCACTGGGCAGCTGCTGTTGAGAGAGACAGTGATCTTTGGAATATGCTTTCTTTACAGGCTGCAGTGGATCTAAATGCAAGGGTATTGCAAGTATTTAAAAGAAAAGAATTAAAACTAATCAACTAATTCTACATGGAAAAAATTAAACACCCAAACCTTAACAAAACCAACTTAAAAACAAACATGAGTTACATCATTGCAGCAAGTCAGCCAGGACAGGAATGGCATCATATTCCCCTGCTGTTCACCAGCTAGAATGTTGTCAGTCAGTAATCTATTCCATGGCAGCACATATAGCAAAGCTGGAGTATATAAGTGAAAGAAGTGTTCCTGTGTAAGTACATACAATCACTTAAGGTTATGTACTTTGCATTAACAGTAACTGGTGACTTGTCTTTCTCATCACATAGTTGGAACTAGTTGAATAGTTCCTTCAAAACATACTGCAATCTATTGCACTCCATCTACAGAACCCACTCATGGTGACGTCATCAGATTTTTGTTTATTATTTGAAGGGACTGTAGTAATTTTTCAATAGGAAGATTTGTATCCTCTTTATAAAACTCTGGATCATATTAAATAAATATAAGCCTACCTTTTTCTTCTTAGATTCACGTCGGTTTCTTAACAATCCTAAAATCAGCAGACCCGATTTTACATTGTCTTCTCTCTCATGTAGCTTCTTGATCCCATAAAGCCTGGCTGAAACTGCCAAATTAAACTGGTAATAGGCATCAATCTTACCTCTAATAGGCATTTCATGAGACATTCCATACCTGACCTTTGCACAGACATTGTGGAAAGTGTTTTCTCCTACTGTTAGAATTTCTCCCACTAGATCATCCCACCTGAATCAGCAGAACTCCACTAACTTCACCAGTGCCATTCTGCACAGGCTGAGGGCTGGTTCTTTGTGTTTTGTTCCTCAGTGTTTTTCTCCCCTGTCTCCTCAGGTGTACTACTGTCGGTCTCTGGCTCTGGCTTTCATTGAGCAGACAGCCTTACAGCGCTTCCACGACTACAGCCACGATCCCAGCGTCCCAGCAGCTCTGCAGCCTGTGCTGAGGCATCTCAGTGCTCTCTATGGGCTCTGGTCCTTGAGTAAACACCTGGCTGTGCTCTACCAAGGTGAGGTCAGCTCCCTGAATGTGCTGTGCATGTCACTTTTATAAAAAGTACAAAATATATTCCCTGGACGGGGCAGAGAATCCTAGTGATGATTTATGTTACAGCATTTTCTTACTGCTTGTTTAATACAGAGCAATCATTCCCGACCAAATTTTCAGGAGCAGGAATCTGCAGTGAAAAATTAACCCGAAAATCTCTCTCTTACCTCAGAGATGATGGAGAGATAAGAGGTTTTGCTGTGATCCAGTGCTTATGTGACAGGATGAGGGATAGGCAGCAAGATGCTGTAGTGCAGCTCATTCTGCAAAAGGCTCTGCATAGCTTAGATTAAGAGTTTTGCAGTCAGCTCATTAATGAAAGACTGTCAGTTCAATTACACAGGTGCAGTTACTTACTCTTGACTACTGAACTCATGAACTTGGCAAAAAGTTTTTAGCAATGTAATCTTAATTAGTATAAGCTTCTCTGTGAATATTTTTAAGGTGGCTATGCTTCGGGGGAACAACCTGGGAAATTTATTCAGGACGCTATTCTGAAGCTCTGTTACAGGGTAAGCCTGTTTATTGTGATTAAATATAGAGTATATAAACACTAAAAATAAGATACATAGCTTACAGTCATCAGATTATTCTGTACTTCATGGGGTAAGTTAGCAGGCTATTACATTAATGGTTTCTGAATAATTTTCTGTAAAGTTTAGCAACTCACTCACCCTGAATCTAGTCTTAATTTATTTCAATAAATGGAAAACAATATGTCCTACCAAACAACACCATAGCATTTGTGGCCTTGCAATCTTCATTGGAAAGCCAGTGAAATATTTCAACACAGTTCTTTTTATTTCATTTCTGAGTGAGTTTGTGGGGTTTTTTTTCCTAACACTAAAGCTTTCCAAACTGCAACATATTCTTTGCAGGTCAGCAAAACTTCAAAGAAGAATCTTGTCATTATATTTTTAAAGTCCAAAATGATATGTGTTTATATGTGTAAACAGCACCATATTGGTTAAAATGTGTTTAAAACTCCCTATGTAAAGGAGGAAAACATTTGAAATACAGTCTTTTTTGGCAGTTACCCTGGGAGTGAAAGAAATTGAAATAAATCTAGGCTACTAATTGTGGATTTCTCTTAAATTATCAAAGCTGATACTTTATGAAAGTAATTTTTATGCTGCTCTGTAGTTCAGCCATAGACAACTGCAGAAGTTGTCAAATGTGTCTCTTTTGGTTTTAAACAGTTGAAAGATGATGCAGTTGCCCTGGTTGATGCCTTTGCTCCTTCTGACTTCATTCTCAATTCTGCTATTGGTAAAGCAAGTGGAGAGGTAAGAAAACCCATTGTAAAATTTGTAACTTTATTCATAAAGAAGATTATTGCCTGTAACTAGCCTTAACATATTCAAGACATTTCACAAGTACAAAAGAAAAGAAAGACAATTTTTCAGTGGAAAATACTACCAGAGTTAAATTGATGTCAGCAGAAAATGAACTCTTTCATTTAGTGGAGGTACGCTTCAGTGGGAGACTTGTATTGCTGTAGTTTGCTGTTCTGGGCATCTGTGCACTCAACTGAAAAAGGGCTGAGAGAAATTTTTTGGTGTAGTTACACAAAGCTAGAGTTAAGAGCATAAGAATGGCCATACTGGATTCACTTCACAGAATACTCTGTGGCTGACAGGGATGGATGGCCAAAGAGAACACTGGGAAACAGATGAAAAAGTGAGGTGTTCTTTTCCTGATGTCTCAGCTGTTGGCAGTTTAAGAGATGTCTCGTGTCATAGGTTCTGTTTGTATCGTTCTGTTTAGTAGCCACAGATGTAACTATTCTCCATTTTCTCCCATCCATTTTCAAATTCAGTTGTCGTTTGGTTTTTATCACACCATCATTTCTACAATTTAATTATGATTGCTGTTAGAAAATACTTCCTAGTCCCAGTCCATATCTATTTACCATCTATGGGAGCCTTTTCATTCCTCTGACAGACCTTGTATTCCTTCTCTGTGTATTTTCAGCTTCTGCCATATCATTTCTGAAGTGGCATAACCACACCTATAAGCAGGACTCAGGGTGTAGGTGCACCATGGAGTCAGCTCCAACAGCTCCTGGTCTCTCCCTTCCTTTTTTTTTTTTTTTTTACATATTTCAAGATCTGTCTTTATTCCAAAATCTCAGCAAACCAAAATTCTTGCTTACTGAGCCAAACCTACTCATCAGGGCTGAGCTGTGGGATAACTGTTCTGCAGAGACCAGTGTCACAGCACAGTAGTTTGGGTTGGTGTGGATGGATGCTGCAGACAGTCCCTGGAGCCTGGGGAGCCTGCCAGGATGTTTGACAGGAATGCTGCATCAGACTCCGTGGATTTCAGTGTTTCGTGTAAATTCTTGTCTAAAGTTGCCCCTTGTTCCCATGGTGATCCAGCAATACAGAGGGCAGAACAGATGTTTCTAAGCTGACCTAGCACAATGATTACTTTGTTAGCAGTCTTTACAAATGAGGCAGGAAAGGCTGGCTGTACCTATCCAGCCATCTCCTAGAGGGTTGTAATCATCACTGGAAACTTTGTTTCCATTTCTATAGGATTTTTGAGGATTAAATTAATGCAAGAGGTCATGGGAGGGAAGCTTCAAAAGTAATTCTTCAGAGAAAGAACATAGTTTGTTAGAATGTTAAGAGTATCTGTGTTGGCCAAAAGCCCATTTTAACACATTTTTTGTCTCTAGCAGAAGCTGTGAGGAGATGCTATAGGCAGAAATGTAAAATATGGTACAAGTACACAGTGATCCATTCCTAGAATAGTATCCCCTCTCTAGCAGTCACCTGGAGATTTCTTATCAGTAGCTGATAAAGCTGTCATGATGGATTTGGCTGGCTCTTCATTGGGTACCTCTTAGCTCTTGCAAATGCAGAAGCCATAGAGATTTATTAATATTAGATATTAATATTAGGAGTATATGAGAAATGCATGTAGGAATCTAAACACTTCCTTATGTACTTACTTTTTTTATAAATTCATTGAATCATTGAGAAAATAATTTTAATCAGTGCTATTCAACCCATGTTCCATAAAATTCAGGAAGGTTTTCTGAATTGCCTGTAAGTCTGTGATTTTCAACTTGTGTAAATATTTTCAACTGAAATTCACAAAAGGCTGCCAATCCCTCACTCAAAATACTTATTAAAGATCATTGTCTCCTGGCTGTCTGTGTTTAATCCTCTATTCATTGATTGCTTTGCACCTTCTAAGAACCAATGCAAACATTTTAGTAAAAATTACAGTATTTTGAAGAATAGATTATCCAAGGATAACAAAAGGGAGAATTTAATTCAGGATAAATTGTGGAGTGCCTTGCACTGTAAGCCACAGATCATAGTTAGAGCTGAGGAAAGGTTTCAAATTTTTTTATAGGCAGCTTTAAGCCCTAAAGAAGAATTCAGATTCTCTTTAAATGGAACTTTTGATGGTGTGGATAATTTCTTCATAAGAGTGAATCTTTATTTCTCCATAAAAGTGAATCTTAATCTCAGCCTAAGTCTGTGAAGGTATTGACACATTTATTTCAGGATTAATTAAAACTTGTTAGACAATATTTAATCAAAATTAGAATGGAATAAGTAGTTAACATTAGCCCATGTAATCAAGGTAAAATATATTTAATATTAAATGTATTATATTTCAGTATTTATTTACATCATCACAGATATTTAGGACCACAGCATCTTTTGATGAAGAAAAATGGCATTTCACTTTACCTCACTGACTGCTTTTTATACTACATTATTATTTTGTTACACTGTGCTGTCTTACTGCTGAAAATATGTTCTTTCTTTTCTGATTTTTCTATAAAATTATTTAGAGTTTTAAGCTTTTGTTAATTATTAATTAACGAATATTGTTAAAATTCTACTTTTGCAAAGTTTTCTTCTTTTTAACCCTTCTGCAAAAAAATTACAAATTAGTAAAATGACAAATAAGCAATCTGCTCTTGAGAGAAGAATTTCTTATGCTGAAATCAAACAGTTCACACTGGGAAAGAAGTTCTGTTCCTTTCCAGAAGTGTGTTCAAACAAAGATAACAGCAGCTGTCCATGAGTGCTTTCAGACACAGCCCTCAGGTTTGGACAGAACAAAGATTGGCTTAATCTAATCTTGTTTCCAAATTTCTACCTTTGATAGTACAACTCCTGTCAAGTTGAAAACCAGAGATAGTAAAGATTTCTGGTTTCCTGCTCTTATGCAAGGATGGTCTAAATGATTTACACAGAAATCTGATGTTTACAGTACTTTGAAATTTTGTGGTTATTGTTCTGTTTGTTCTTGCCTGTACATAATTATTCACATTTGTTATCTAGAAATTCAATTAAAATCTCATTTCAGCCAATAAGTTAACTTAATAATTTATCTTGCAGATGTTTTGTTTCTTCTCTGTGCATTAATCCTTTTTTATTATTATTTTACAGTTATACAAAAATATGTGGGGAGAGATCCTTCAAGGCAACAAAGTTCTGAACAGACCTTCATGGTGGGCAGAATTTTGCATGAATAAACCTGTTATAGGCAGGCTGAGGTCAAGATTGTAAACCAAACAGCTTTTAAGAGTCTGGATGGGCCTGAGATGGATACCTTGTGACAAACATCAGGAGGAAATGAGGCCATATGAATGATGAAAATTGAAGGGATTTTCACCAGGAGGTGCCAAGTTTTCAAATAACTTTGAAATCAAGTCCAACTTGATCTGAGGGACTGTTAACATAATAATGACAAGATCAAGAGCAAAACATCTGCACACTATACATATTTACTCAATTAAATTAAAAAAAATGAAGATTTATTTTAATCATTGATTTGCAAAGTTTATATTAAAAAGATTTTCCAATCACTCTCTTGTTGATATTTTCATATTACAAAAGGTAAATAATTTTAAAAAAGCATTTTCCATCAGAGATTATGAATAAGCTGATAAAGGCAAAAAAAAATTAGGACAGGCTGGACAAAACCTGTACTAACTATGATTATAGTGAGAGAACATTGGGAGAGCATCTTTCCCTCTGCTCCTCTGTCCTCAGATTGCAGAGAACCAGGCTGTATTGCCTTTCAGAAGAGCTGAAGGGAAGAGGTCAGGACAAGCAATGGTTTCAGTGTCAGCAGAGGCAGGTGTCTGTCCTTGGGGGCGCAGGATGACTCTGGGAGCTCGCTGGCTGCCCCAGTTCTGAGGAGCCAAACACTAATGTGGCAGTGTGGAAAGATGGCTCTGATTAGTGGCACACCCTGGGTTGTCTCAGCTCAGAAGTGGGAAATTGGAGACAATCACACTGTTAGCTTTGAGCTGAAAGGAATGTTCTTTCAGTAAAGATAACTTCTTAGCCAGACTCAGAGCAGACTTAAATGTTAATAATTTTACCACGTCAAGTTCAAGGTCAATTAAAAATGATCACCCTCAACACACTTCAGTTTAGAAACAAAAAAGCCAAAGAAAAAGTCTGAAATTCTATGGCTGTTGTTCATAGTCCCATTGGAAAAATGGATAAAAGCTGTCCTGTTAAACTGTATTTTTTTTCCTTAATTTCTTTTTCTTCACCAGATATAGTCAGTGTTGCCTGTGGTTTTTCTGCCTCTACTCTTTCTGCTTTTCTAAGGAGGTTCCTTAGCTCAGGATGTCCTGATAGAAGCTCTTTTTCTTGCAATTGAACTGTAGGGAAGTTTAACCTTCTTTGCTGAAAAAAACAACCCAGTATAAAGTGTTCGTTTTCTTTGAACTGTTTTGGCTCTTTTAATAAAGTCCAATAGGTGGCATCATCCTATGGAATAAAAAATAGATCAATACAGCTAAACACCTATCATTAGATGTTATGGAGTCATGAGGTGTCATGATTATCTTTAGGAATTTTCCATATCAATGGGGCATCCAATAAGTGTCTCAGAAGGAAAGAGGCAGAGCTTATAATTCCCAGTATCCAATGTGAACACCAGGAACTCTGGCAGTGAAAAAGGCAAATGGAGAAGAGATGCCATGCTGCATTAAATGTAGTAGCATTGATCTGTCAGTCCCCATTCTGCACTATCAATGCTGATCAGCAGCATTGTTCTGCTGTCCTACATGTGTGTGATTTCACCATCACCTCTGAGCTCTCCATAAGTCCATAAGAAAAGACTCAGTCTTTTCTTGCCTCCTTCCCCACAGCTGGGAAACAGCTGTGTGGAAATCTTGTGTATAAACTGTAAGTCTGTTTATGAGGCCTTGGTAACCCAGGAAAAAGCACAAAGGTGTTTGGCATATAACTTAAGCCAGCTTCATCCCAATAAAAAAAAAAAAACACAGCAAAAGTGTGTCACAGTAGCAGAGACCTGGAGACCTGGTGAACCACAAGGATACTCACCAAGCGCATGACAAGATAAACAGACATCCTGTAAAAATATATCCCTAAGCCCTTCCTGCTAATCTTCTTTATTATGACTATTCTGGCAACAACCAAACTCCCTGATACAAGCTGTGCCTCTCTCTGATGATAGGGACTGTACAAACTGGCAGGAAAAAGTGCTGTTTGTTCTGAAAAGCTCCTAACTTCAACTAGAGCAAGCACAGCAGAGGCTGCACCAGCAAGGACCTGATTATGGGCCGGCAAAGTGGGGTACTCAGTAAAATAGCACAGTTATGGACCCTAAATATGAAATGTCCCAGCCTGCAGTAAGCTTAGAGCCTCATGGGACCCTTGGGCACCTGGTTGATGGCAGGAGTTACAGACCTGAGCACCAAAGCTGAAATAAGTACAAGCACTGTGAGGCCTTGGGCATTCACTCTTTAAAAAATCCTGCATCCCCAGCCACTGGGTGCTGGTGGCTGCTCACCAGGGCTGTTTGCAAGCTCAGTGCAGGTGTTCAGCAGCTGTCAGGATTTGCATGATGCAGCAAAGTCTGTCACTCTTTACTCTGACACCCAGTACAAAGCCATGGTGCAGCAAAGGCAGGCTCATTCTGTGGGCCAGAGCCACTCTGCACTCAACATTACCAAAAGCAGTATTTCCTGTATGAATACCTGGGTAATTGTGATCAGGTTTGACTATGAATTTCTGATCTGTATTTTTAGCCAGATCTGTGTAATCAAATGAGAAGAATTTCTTCTGAAGTCAACAGCCAAAGGTTCCAGAGATCTTCTATGTCCAGCTTCTCAGAGCAGGAAAATTTGTAGCTTTGAACTTGCAGAGCTGCAGCATGGAAAGAGAGAGATGTCATGAAATTTGGCATCTGGTTATCTACTAAATCATAGGGCAATAATTCAACAACTACCACAAGATGTCATTATTATATGCAGTTTCTTCCTCTTTGTAGAACATTAAATAAAAGAAGCCTCTGGCAGAACAGAGAAGTCATTTCCCTCCCATTTCAAATGCCAAATAAAGTTGGATGTGTCATTTTATCTTGGTTGGGGAGCTGGGTCAAATTCAGTCAAATAGCTTCAGTCCAAAATAATTTGGCCTTGGGGATCCATCCTTTTAAGTTGCCACGTGAAGGCACCAGAGAGCTGAATCCAAATAGGCCTGAAAGAGCCTTAAAACTGCTTCCCCAGGGCCCTGTGCTCTGCTCCTCTCCTGGAGAGTGGCAATGTTCTGCTTTGTGACCACCTACCTGCCCAGGGTATTTCAAACCAGGTATGTCTTCTGTGTGCTGATGTGACTCAAAGCAAAAAGGTTTTAACAGAAATTGTTTACGTGTGCTAGAACACTGAATGCACAGGTCTCCCTTGCTGATGTGGCAAGATAAATCCATAAATATTTCACATCACCTTTCTAGGAGTGGTAGTTTCAGGAGGAGTGCTTTCTGGGTCAGGTGGAAGCCGTGCCATGCTTTACATCTGTGGATGTGGATTCAGAAGTGCTTGTTTTGTGCAGGAATGAGTGGACTCATATGCTGCTCTTTCTGTCTGAAAGCCTCCTTCCCACTGTAATTAATGATTTATGACACATTCTGCAGGGATGCAAGTTCCTATTCTGTTTGCCTTTGTTCATATATTTTCTTTACCGAGTTAATGTGTTTTCAAACACAAGTGCTGAGGTCACACCAGCCCATGCTACTGGCATGAGCAGTCTGTCTCTCTCTTCCAGCCATATGGACATCACAGGGTGTCCTCTGCTAGCACCACACCTTCACTGGCCTCAAGGGTTTGTTATTCCCACTTCTCATTAGCCTGAGATCACAGTGAGATCATTTTAGCTCGGTTCAGCGGCCTGAGGAGCAGCACAGGCCAGGGGAGCTGCTGCATGAGGCATCCATGTGATGGTCTGAGCTGAGGCACACGCTGCAGCCAGGTGGGGTCAGCTGGATCCCAGCAGGCTGCACGCAGCACTGGCACTGGCTACCCGAGCACAAAGCTTCCCTCTTCTCCAAGAAAGTCAAGTCACAGGTTAATGAGATACAGCAAGCACTTCAGTTCCTTTCAAGGCAAAGAGAGACGTAAATGCTGAGAACAGCAGTTCTGCTGACTACCTTGCCTTGTTTTATTCTCAAATGTTTGCAGCCTGGTTGTGATTGTTGAGCATTGCCCCAGCATGAATCTCTCTTGAATAAATTCAAGCTCTATCAGGAGTTTCTTCAGTGTGTTTGTCACATAATAGACTAGTAAGTGCATGGCTAGAAGAATTCCCAGTGTATTTCCTGAAGGCAATTTCCACATTTTTACATTTTTTGTTTGGTCAGTCTTAGTGTAGAGCATCTACTGAGCTTTCCATCAGTCTCCAAAGACACAGCACCATTGGGCATTACCTGCCTTCACCTGCCCATGTTCTTCCATCCTCCTGCCCTTCCCAACTCATTTCACTTGTCATCTTCTCTCTACTCAGAGCTTTGCTAAATACTTATTTTTGTCAACTTATAAAATATTCATTGTTAGTCTTTGTTTTAAGCAAAGGATATTTTTAAATTACATGTTCTTGGATAGAAAAAATGCTTCAATTCATAATGTCCATTTTTTCAGAAGGGCAGCATATTTGCCATGGAGTGATAACCAGGAGTTAGAAAACAACCTGGAAGGACCAACATGGATCTGGAGTTTGTCCTGTGGCTGTGACTGAGACATGATTCATGCTTTCCACACGTGATCCACGAGCCAGGACAGCTTCCAGGGCATCCAGAGGAAAGCCACCATGCTGCCACTGTACTGTAGAGCATATCCTGCACTTACCACCTCCTGACCACTCCACAGGGCTTTTGGGGCAGTCTGTCCACAAGCAATGGGCAACCATTGCCTGAGAATGAAACTTCTTTATACAGTGTTTTGGGGTTTTTTGTAAAATGTAAGAATCAAAACAAAAATGTATAGACAGAGATAATTTTCTATGGCAAAAATATGAGGTTCAATAAAATGGTTTATAAAGAAGCAGAAATATTCAACAAGTGGTTCTGCACTGTATTTATGTGTTCTTATCACTGGGATGTGATGAAGTACTTTCCAATCCCTCAGTAACCCAGAAAGCTGTTAAGCAACACATACTATGGTAAGCACTAAAATCAGCAGAGCCATGTAACAAAATGGTGAAGACTTGACTGGCCTAAGCACACTCATTTATCTTGTATTTAAGACTATCAAAGAAATTCCACCAGGCTAGAGTCAGCTGTTCTACCAACATTTTAAAAGGACGAAAAGTCACAAACTTGATTCTATGAAAAACAAACTAATGGAAAACCTAAAGGGGGATTAAGTTAATAAAATAAATACCATATAGCAATACAAAAAATATCAATCAGAGATTTTACAGAAAATACAGTTTCTCAGACACACCTGATTTAATTCCAGGTATTCCCAAACTCTGATTTTTGCATATATGTGACATGTAACATAGACATTTACCTCTAACACACCATATTTTGTGTCTCATGACACTGAGATGAAGAAAATCAGCATTCTGTCTATCTGCAAACACACTCAGGAAGCCATCAGTGGAGAAATCATTCTCTGTGCTTTAGGGATGTTATTAGAGATAATCCTAGACCTGCCACTGCTTATTATTTTCCTCAGTGAGCTGGAAATAATTTCAAAATCTCTTCTATTAAATTGTGCATAATTGGTGGACTGGTAAATTAGGTGAGCACAGATATAACAGACATAATCTGAAATAAGTTTAAACCAGATTGGTTTTGCTGACCCAAGTGTGCAACATCTCCTTCAAAAATGGAGGGGTAAAGAGAGATTTTGTCATCCTAGGCCAGACAGAGCTGAGGGAAGGTGAGTGCTTTTCTCTCTGCTGTATTTGGGAGAGAATTGAAATTTTTCTAAATGACCCAGGAGTGTCATGGGAAGAATAAGAAAATGCAAGATCATTATAACCTTAATATGATCAGAGAATTGATTCTTGTCCAGTTCTCATGTTGCAAAAGCCAGCTCCAAATGCCAGCCTGCCTGGAAAATGGAAACTGTATTGTGTGTGAGAATTCATCTGTGCCTGCAGAAACCACATGCCAAACTCCTGCTTTCCTTACAGGGCACAAAGTAACAGAAAGGAGCCAAAATACTGAATTCAAAGCCAGAGAAAGGTGTGGTACAACAGGAAACTGAACAAACTCAATGTTTAGCATGTCAAAGAGGAGCTTAAAATTTGGAGCAATTGCAGTATTATAGGCTTCTCCAAAGTGGAGCAAAATGTTGTATGTCAAAAGAAATATAATTTGTGTCTGATCACCGGGGGAGAGATTTAAGGGTATTGTTTACTTTGAAGGAGGTTTGTGCACATACACATTATTTAGGATGACCAAACCATGGTCTATGGTTTCGTTACATGCTGTACCAAGATCCTTTAAATCAGAACAGCTGGTGCCATATGAACTGCCCTCCAAAAACATACTTGTCTGAGTGTCATTAAATAATGATTTTTTTTCTAAGCCCACACAAACACTTGGCTTTTTCCATCCAGTTTATCAATGATGAGTGTTTGCAAAGTCCAGAACTGAGCACTGGCTGTGTTTCACTAGTGTGAGGGAGAAGCCAGGAAAAACATATCTCCTGGGGAGTATTCCCAGCTGTAAATTTATTTTTGACACATATAGGATGGAATTGGGTTTCTGTGCTTGTTTTGATCTCCTTACAAATTCTTATTAAAGGGATGTCTTCCAGCCCTGCAGAAGTGCATATCCTGTCCCAGTCCTAAATCTGTGGGTGAGTCCTGCAGCCAGCAGTGTGGGGCAGTGGGACAAACACACCAGTGCCTCAGACACTCAGCAAGCAGCAGCCCAGTTCTTTGCTCAGTACATAAATATTTGCCTGGTTGCACCATGCTCTAGGGCAGATGAAAACCATGGTTTTTTTTCACAGCCATCAGTTGCAATCAGTGCTGTTCATCCAAGGCTCAGCCCATGGGCACAGGCCCAGCCAGAGGCACTCCTAGCACGCCCTGCTGGGCTCTGCTCCTGAGGCAGCCACCAGGTGATCCTTGGGAGGTGGTGCAGGGCTGCCCTGCTGTGTCCCACTGGAGCAGAAGGAACAGGTTCTTACCCTGCACAACCCATCGTGGTTACAGAGAGAACATGTCTGCAGGGATTTTCCCTCTCTCTGTTTGGATCACTTTTTGCTTTGGATTTAATTCAAGCAAGTTCTTGAATGGGGAGGAAAGAATTAAAGAAAATGTTACCTTTCTAATGACCAGGTTGTCTGTTTTGACAATAAGGAAGGCAATAGGCATGGAATTGCTTAGCTATGATTTCTCCTCCTCAGTGTCCAAATTTCTGGTGTCTTCTCATTACACTTCAGTTGTGAGGACAGTTCAACAGCAAAAGCTGGAGTATTTGCAGTTTTATTTCTGTTGCCAGGCTCTCTGTTCATTGTGGGAGGATTCCATATGCAACCAGATATGATTTTCCTCTGTGTTAAGAAATAGTCCTGGCAATAAACGGTTTGAGTCATCTTTCTGTTTGCTTGACTCCTCCCATAATAATATTATTCAAATCTTGATTCACCCCCTAATCTCACAAGACAGGATTTTAGAGGTTTAAAGAAAAAAAATATTTTCTTGGGTTTTTTTTTTTCATTTTGACCTCAGAAAGCTCAGAGTCGAAAAGCTCATATTGTATTTTGCTGTAATTAGGTAGAGAGCAAAAAACATCTTCAGAAAGGCACATTCCTTAGAAGGTTAGTCTGCAACATGATTGATTACAGCTTGTTTCAGTGGGGAGGGATATGGTGGCATCATCATTAGAAGTGAGGTGTGTCTCACCACTTCTCAGAACCATCATTTCACCTCTGAACTAGCAGAGACATTCCCTCATGTGCATTCAAATTCCCATTCAGGGATGCAACCAAGATAAACAATCAGCAGGTCCAGTAAAGACTCACTCATAGATGTTCCCGCATCATAGGAGCTGAAGCAACTCAAGTGTCATATGGTCAAGTGCTGTTCTTCCAGACAAGATTAATAGTGGCTGTGTTAGTCCTGAAATATCACATTTTCTTCAATACAGATCCAATGTTAAATTGTAATTAATTTCTTGGAGCAGGCAGGCATAGATCTTGTCTTAGAAATCTAATACTTTTGCAAGAAATCTAATCTTTTTCATCACAAGTTTTTGTAGATTCTTGGTGGACTTGTGGGAGAGGAAATGACAGCCCAGGGTCCCATCATCCTAAGTGCTGTACACAAACAGATCTCCAAAACACTGCAATTTAGAGAGAAGAGGAGAAATTAATGCATTTTGAACAAATCAATATGTCACTGCTGGCTAGCACTATGTGCAGCAATCTCATTGCTCCATTTGCCATTTTTAGCCAGAATTTTCTAAGGCCTTCCTAATTTGGAAAAGAAGCTTTACATGAAAAAGAGTAGCCAGTGCTCAGCATCCAGAATGGCATGATGGAGTCTGGAGTAAATATCCTATCAGCAAATACAAGATTTCAAAATTAGGATTACACTATGATGAGTTCTGAAGACCAAGGGTTTACACTTAATGAAGGAATGAAGTCAGTGGAGAGACAAAGAAAGCACGGGGCAGCCAAGCCAAGTCCTGTGCTGAGAGAAAGTGCAAATAATGTCTCATATTGGCATGGAAATTATAAGGACAGAGGTGCATTTTCCAAGGACAGAGAAAAATAAATAATGGGTACATACTTCTATAAGTATGTTTGGCTGTTTGAGAGGGAAGTCAATAGTTTTTACAGAGAAATCAAAAGAGTTTTAAAGTCTAGAGATAGTTTGGACATAAGAACAAGGCTGGCTGATGATAAGCTTTCATCCACATTGGAAATCTCTCCTTGAACCACTGCTTTAAGTAATTACATCTGTTAAAATTTTTCTTCAGTTATTTTTTTGCTTCCATATGTATCTAGGCAACACCTGGAATAATATTATTTTCTAAAAACTTTTGAAATGCAGTGGTTCACTGCAACATGCTGCAACATTTCCAGATACAGATTTCATACACACACAGACACACACTTATTTACAAAACTCAGCCCACATGAGTGCATTCAGAAGCAAAACCAAACAATTTTAAGCAGGCTTATGCAAATAATTCTCTTTCTGGTTGCTACTTCTTTCTGTCAGAATTCAGCCCAAAAAAAAGTCTAAATGTAGGTTAGCATGCATATTTTTTAAGAGTCATAACATTATCACAGTAATCATCTCCTTATGAAAGCATAATGAATGGCAAAGAGATAATAAGGAGCTATTTGTAATGTGGCATATTAATTAGAATCATAATAAAAGTTAATAAGATCATTATATCTAGAGTTACACTATAAAATGTGGGAAAGGGAATTCTCCTATTACTTTCAAGAATTACAGCAGAACTGTGAGCATACTTTACATTTTAAGTCCATACAAAAAATTTGGTAAATCTAATTTTTGTAATGAAGTTGCAGATATATTTTTAAGTCACATAGGGGAATTCCTGTTATTTTATCAAGTGCATCTTAAAGAAGATATTACCACTTTAATTACCTCAAGATGTTTAGAGACATTGCCTCTTAATTAAAAATCACAGGACCTAATGGCAGTGGTATGCCTAAGAGCCCAGGGAAATCATTTGTTGATCTGTGGTTGCTATGAGGCTGTTGAGAGCTATAGATTGTCTGTGGATTAACATATAGCTCTGTAAACTATAAATGGTTAGGAAAGCTTGAAGGCTTCATGCAAACTCCATGTCAACACATACACCCTCTCTGATTACTGAGGCAATAAAATGTGGTTTAATTTATTTCATTGTACCGTTTCCACACTTCAAAGCCAAACTCTGCCTAAACCCATGCCTTGAATTTGTGACCTATGCAAACTCTGCCACGTCTCATGCAGGTTATGGTGGGTATCTATGGCACAGTAAGTCAGGGGTTAAACCACACCAAAAAGACCCAAACCCAGTTGTGAATACTCATCAGCAAGCAGTGGTTTCTGAGCCAGGGAGTTTCAGCTCATGAAGCTGAGAGAAGCAGCAGCAGGCAGTGCCCTGTGCATAGCAAGCACCTCCCCAGCACCAGGGAGGCACTGCCTGACCCTGTGCCACAGGAACCTGCAGGCAGAAGAACCAGGGCAACATCCCCATCAAAGTGTCCCCTAGTGGGCCATAGCATAGGACAGGCCATGCTGGTGGGTCACCTGGACTTATTGTTTGGGAAAGGCCTTGTTGCTTTGTTTTCTTACTTGAAAATGTCTTGGTTTTCTTGTCTTGAAATGTCATCAGGTATCTGAGTTAAACTGATCAATTCTGTCAGAGATCACAGGTATGGGTCAAACCCGGGCAGCATTTTGGAAGACACAAGGGGAGCACTGACAGGATGGGCTGTGCTCCAGCCTGTCACCAAGCCTAGGTGTGAGGCACAGCCTGAACCCAGTTTGGCAGCACCTGCCCTGCCCCAGTGGTCAGAACAGCAGAACATCTGCACAGGCTCCACTGGAACATCAGCGTGCCACTCCACAAACACAGCTCACCAAACTGCCAGGACAGCCTGTGGCTCAACAGCAGGGCTTAGCTGATAGCAGAGGAAGAGTACACATGAAAAACCTTT